CTACAATTCCCAAATGTCAAGGTCTATTTTCCCCAAAATCCACCAGTGTTCACATTTGGACATATTGAGTATTTGTGCCATGTTTGTTCCAGATCCATCATTGAGTCTACAGTGCTCTCTGGATGTAGGTGAACTACAACTCCAAAACTCAAGGTCAAAGCCCACCAAATCCTTCCAGTATTTTCTCTTGGTTATGGGAGTTCTGTGTGCCAAGTTTGGTTCAATTCCATTGCTGGTGGAGTTCAGAATGCTCCTTGATTGTAGGTGAACTATAAATCCCAGCAACTACAATTCCCAAATGACAAAATCACACCCCTCCTCACAGTCCCAGCAGTATTCAAATTGGGGCATATCAGGTATTTGTGCCAAATTTGATCCAGTGAATGAAAATACATCCTGCACATTACGATTAATAACAGTAGCAACATTAGTTATGAAGTAGCAATGAAAACAATTTTATGATTGCTGGTCACCACAACATGAAGAACTGTATGAAGGGGTCATGGCATTAGGAAGGTTGAGAACCACTGACCTAGAAGATGTATTAGGGTCTATGCATTTTGAATGTGAGCCCCTCAGCATTGGCTATGTGAACTATAAGAATAGCAGGCCAACCTCTAGATGGTTATGGATTCTCGTCTGATATAGAAAGCATGGCCCCATCCACTATGCTGATGGGATAAGGAAGAACACATCAAGGTAATATTAATTATACTATGATAGTGCTGTAAATTCAGTTTTTCAATAGTAATTTTCTTCAGTAAATACTTCATGCATGAATGGCAGTCCTTAAGACTGGCAACCTGATCTACTTAAGCCAGATTTATACATTTGGATCTGTTATATCTCACTTTTTGACAATACAGGGAACATATTTCCTATAAACATGGGTCTGTGCTCATGATAAGTATGGGAATATTTACAAAATTGATTCTTGGTAATTTTTGTCTTAATTGCAAAGAAACTTTTATTAGCTTGACATGTTGCTAGTGCAGGGCAAATGTGACAAAAAGTCAACAGCAGTTAATTTGCTCTCTGAAAACTAATCTGGCCAGATCTTTGATGCTTTTAATAAAGAAGTAATCTTTGCCTTTGAGAACTTAGTTGATCACACTTTGGTGGAGCAGAAAAATCCCACAATAAATCTCTTTAAAGAGAACTTTCTGAAAGCTCCTCATTATAATAGAAGACTATCTTGAAACCACCACTGCGAACTTTAACATTAGCACTACTGGGATAAAATGTGAAAGGCTTATGGTGAGATTAATGAGAGCTGTTATCCTGAGTCAAGGTAAAAAATCTTTTCATGTCTAAAGAGGTGTGAAGCTCTGCCATTTTACATCAACAGATGAAAGGAAGCTGCAGTTAGCGATATTACTGGATCTGTTATAGGCTAAGTGCTACTGGTGAAACAGTAAAACATAGTGGTAGATTTCGCACTTTGCCCTTCAGGAAACAAATACTTTGTATTTCTGACACAGTTTAAATGTGCCATGTACCTATAAGCACTGTTATGTCAAATAGGAAGCTCACAGACCCACAACCAAAAATCATAATGCTTCTGATATTAACAGAGAGACTGAGAAATTTACAGATTTATTAACAATTTAATCCAGATGTTTGTCATCTACCTTACCTGGAGAAACAAGATTTTATTTTATTAGACCTATGTCAATCCCTCCCATTGAAAACATCTTAGTGATACTTTTAGGACAAGTAAAATGTATTTTAATTTTAAAATTAGTATTTTAATTCCGCTTTCTGGGTTCAGTGTGGAATCAAACTTCTTTCAAACCTACTAACATACATACCCCGTTGTCACATCCTCCTTGTTTGCTTTTTTTGGTGTCAGGAGTGACTTGAGAAATTGCAAATCGCTTCTGGTGTGAGAATTTGCTGTCTGTAAGGACATTGCCCAGGGGACACACAGATGCTTTACCATCCTCTGGAAGGCTTCTCTTATGTCCCTGCATGAGAAGTTGGAGCTGACAGACAGGAGCTCACCCCACTCCCCGGATTTGAACCGCTGACCTTTTGGTCAGCAGTCCTGCCAGCACAAGGGTTTAACTCAGGGGTTCTCAACCTGTGGGTCCCCAGATGTTTTGGCCTTCAACTCCCAGAAATCCTAACAGCTGGTAAATTGGCTGGGATTTCTGGGAGTTGTAGGCCAAAACACCTGGGGACCCACAGGTTGAGAACCACTGGAACCCACTGCGCCACCAGGGGCTCCATCCTAGTTTGCTAAACAATGTGAAAAACAGCCTATAACGCAAACATATTTATGATGATGATGATAATAATAATAACAACAATATTACTTTATTTGTATTCCATCCTATCTCCCTGATGGGACTCAGAGCAGATTCCAGCATACACAAAAACAAACACTCAATACCTAGAAGCAACGAAACACAAAGGTAAGTTTTTATAATATTGGAATCAACATTTACAGAACTTTAGGCTCATAGGAACTTCTCACATCAAACTACTAGACACAGTATAAATTTTTAGAAGGAAAGGTCTTAGGCAGTTTAGGACATTCCTCAAACACATCAGCAGATTTCTGTCTTTAAGCTTAGCTCTGTTCTGAAGTCAGTCAACTTGTGCCTTGCAGTAGAGAAGTAGACAGGTCTGGAAAGTATGTAACCCAACAGATGTTGTTGGACTTCATCTCCCTTCTGGCTCTGTTGGCTGAGAGTTGCAGTCTAACAATATCTGGAAAGCTGTATAATTTCCATACAAGCTATAAATGCAGCAGTGCAAAATGATAGAAGCGTATGACAATATTCTTTCACATCAGTCATTCATATTACAGCAATGTCATCAGGAATAAGTATTCAGCATACTTGTTTCCCATTACTAGGAAAGTGTGGGTTTTCATCTACCATGAGAAGAGATGGTTTAGCTCTTCAATGAGAAGTTAATCATTGCTTTAAAAAAAAAAGCCATGTTAATGAACCTATTTTTAAGCACCAGCTTAGGTGATTCTTCTACCCCATTATCAAATTGTCCTCCTCAAGATGAAAGGTATCTGGACAGAACACCAAACCAAATCCTAGGCATAGAAAATAACATGGATTTTTATTTATAAATCTATTAGTGTTCTGATTTTCAAAGAAGGACATTTGCAATTTTTAGATGAGCAAGGAAGTAACACATGTAAGCAAATAGCAGAAAGGTTTAGGTCCTGGATTCTGCTGGAAAGATCCTTTATGTTGGAAATCACCATAACCAATCACTCATGGTGGAGTATGATGGTTTTCCAAGGATAGAGTATTGGTTATGGGTTCATAAGTGACTATAAGACCCATTCTGGATCTGCATGTTCTTTTGAAGTGAGGACATGCATTTCCAGATGGAAGGCAGTCCCCACAAGGATTTGCTTGAGGTGCCTTCTTCTTCTTGTCAGATTTCTCCAGTCCTCTATTTGTGCATCAGCACTGCTGGGAGCTGCTGATCTCCCGTTAGAACGCTCAGCCAGTTCTCTGTGTTGGTTCCACATTTTTAAAAGGTTAGCCTTAAGCCCATCTTTAAATTTCTTTTGTTGTCCACCAACATTCTGTTTTCCATGCTTCAGCTGAGAGTAAAGTAATTGCTTTGGGAGATGGTGATCAGGCATTTGGATGTCGATAATCCAGTGAAATTGACGGCTGAGAATCACTTCAATGTAGGTGGTCTTTACTTTTCCTGAAAGGCTGACATTTGCTCGCCTGTTTCCCCAAAAGATTTGCAGGGTTTTTCAAAGGCAACACTGATGGAATCTTTCCATAAGTTGAGAGTGACGTTTGTAGATGGTTCATGTTCTTCGGGTATGCAATAAAGTTGTAATGACAATAGCTTTATAAACAAGCTTGTAATCTGTGCAATAGGTGATTTCCACACCAGAGGGAAGCTTCCTGTCAACGTGTAGGATCACAGCTATCAAGATCCTACAAGCCCTATGAGGAGCGGCTTAAGGAACTGGGCATATTTAGCCTGAAGAAGAGAAGGCTGAGAGGAGATATGATAGCCATGTATAAATATGTGAGAGGAAGCCACAGGGAGGAGGGAGCAAGCTTGTTTTCTGCTTCCCTGGAGACTAGGACGCAAAATAATGGCTTCAAACTACAAGAAAGGAGATTCCATCTGAACATGAGGAAGAACTTCCTGACTGTGAGAGCCGTTCAGTAGTGGAACTCTCTGCCCCAGAGTGTGGTGGAGGCTCCTTCTTTGGAAGCTTTTAAACAGAGGCTGGATGGCCATCTGTCAGGGCTGATTTGAATGCAATTTTCCTGCTTCTTGGCAGGGGGTTGGACTGGATGGCCCATGAGGTCTCTTCCAACTCTTTGATTCTAAGATGGAAAATGAATTCACTCTTACTATTCGTTGCACCTTATCATATACGTAGGCAGTTGGAGAAGTACCCTGTTTGTCTTCTTGAAATGGGGAAAACTGTCTGCATATTCTAGAGGGCATTATTTAAAGCAGCTGCTAAGCAAGTTTCTGTGGTGTCACATTTCTGCCTATGGGTATGGAAACACAATGAAAAGAAACAGCTATGCCCTGAAGCTAGCTTTGTAAATTTAAGAGCATGGCATAGCCTGAGTCAAGCAGTTTTAGGGCAAACTCTTTCAGAAAGAGATATAGGCATCTTCTCAAATGTCTTCTAATAATGTCTAATTTCATAAAATATAGTGCTGAAAAAGACTCCAAGGGCCATCCAGTGCAACCTCTTATGCAGGAATACACAACCAAAGCATCTTGACAGATGGTCATTGAGTTTGGTTTCCCATATTCTGCAGATTTTGCAGATTATGTCTGTAATCCTAGTTTTTCACAGATCTCGGAAAAGTGGCCATATTGGCTGCGGCATTCTGAAAGTGAATCCAAAAAAGTGACATTTTCAAGCTCTGGTATTAATGACTTCTGTGCCCACATTCATGTTAAAATGTCATACTTTTTCACCCAGAAGTTTTTCTTCTTTAACAATTTCTCTTTCCCGAGAAGCAACAATAAAGAAATTACTTTGTCTCTTTGATACTTTCAACTTGGGAAATCAGGCATGAATTGCATCTTGATATTAACCAATAGTGAACTATAGAGGTGATTGACTCTATGGTCAGACCAATTCAGTAGTGGTGTTAGTTGTCAGAGTTTGAAATGGGTAACTTTGGCATGCAAAGACTATCACTAAACTACACAGAATGCCTCATCTCAACACACTAAGGTTAAAAAGTCATGTAATTCTCAGCATCAGAGAAATTCTACAGTAGTAAATATATTAAAGAAGGCTGCTATCTAAAGAGACACTTACCTGGAAGTGGTAATCACATAACAACACTTATATATGAATAAACATGTATAGGATTGTGTTTCAAGTACTAATTTTATGTGCCATTGCTTTCACTTAAGGTATTACTCCATTGTACTATCACCGGTCTTGATCAATATCTGAAAGTACCCTTTTAAGACAAGAATGACAATGACAAAGTAATATATTACTGTGCCAATCTATCAGATTGAAATATAATCCCAGAGATGTAGGTATGGTAAATTATTCAACAAGAAAGTTTGACAACACTTACATCAAGCCAGAATATTATATCCACAAGTAAACTACATAGTACAGGATTAAAACTGAAGTTCTAAATATGTTAGGAAATGCTAATGAAATAATTTGGATTTATTTGCAGGTTAATGCATTTATGATTCCAGTAAAAAAAAAATCAAACTGATTATACGAGTCAGATTGTTTGCATAATTACATGATGTCATCCAAATTTAATTAAGTCTTTAGTATTTAATATTGGAAGTTGATGGTAAAATCAAAGGTATCTGGTTGAAACACTAAATTTAAAAAGGTATAAAATGTGTATAGCAAATTAAAAAATATATCAGTAATATGAGACTAGTCAATTCAATTGATATTGGTTTGCTGGGCTTCTTATCCCAGAACAAAGTGTTCATACCCTTTCCGGATAGATACTCGATAGTATATTCGACTTAACAGGCATGTATTGAGAGCAAAGAGAGCTATATGTGAGTGGCTAGAGATGAATTGGGTTGAAAGTCAGGAAAAAGGGACAGTGCAATGAATGATGGGGTGATTTGGGCTGTGTACACATGATGCCATATCTATAATTGTATTCCTTTACCCTTTTCCTTTCAATGAGTTGTTGGAGTATTGATGGTATCTTTATAAAACTGTGATTTTCATTCATCTGCATCTGCACGTGCAAAAGAATGAGGTGATGGGATGATCTTCAAGTTCAGAATTCAAATGGACAATATTTCTAATGCTGTTTTTAAAACTCACCGCAAATAGAAAGCCAAGTGCAAGCACAGTGCTTTTGACATTCCTCCAACCTGTTACATTAACCTTCTGCTTGCAGGGAGTTCCCTACATTTGGACATATTCAGAAATGGCTATCTTGTAGTAAAGAAATCCATTCTGTCACATTCAAAATCTAGCATGTATTGTAACTGTTGCCTGTGAACAGAATGTAACATAAAAAAGAGAACCGTGAAAAGGAAAGGAGCCCTTAACTGTTTTGCAGCCTGAGTCTCAGTCTTTCTGACAGAGGCAAGGGACTGTTGACCCACCCATCAGAATCACTTCCAGATTCCTCTAGAGGAGGATTGGGTTCTCCAGGTTTACACTCAGTGGATCTTGGAGGATTGAGTATATGTTTAGTGGGCTGCTCTGTCAATGAAACGCCCACATATCCAAGGACTTTATGGCCAGGTTCTTCCCTTTGCTGAATATTATGTACCAACTGGCTGTCTCGACTTTTGTTGGTGTTTTTGTTCTTTGGCTGAACCAGGTCACTCTTCTTTTGCCACTTTGGGATTCTGTGACCTTTCCTCCTGCCTTCCACGCTTTCGCTGTCACTGTCTTCACTCGAATAACTATTTTGGCACACACTCTTCTTGAAGGAGTTTTTCAGAATGGCTGGCCTGATATTTTTTCTAAGCTGACAGCAATCTATATCTTCTGTTGATCTGAGAGGCTTGTTATTCAAGCAGCTTGGTCCTTGCCTGTCAGGGCACAGACCTACAGATGGACAAAGGTCTGATTCAGTGCGTCCCTCTTCTGCCTCAAGTGGGTTTTCAGAACTTCTGAGAATCTCTTTATAGTTCTGTGAATCAAATCTCCTTGGATACTTTTCTGTTAAAGCCACATTTTCTGCTTCCCGAGTGCTGTCATTTATCTGACCTGAAAGAGATGAAACTGCTTCTCTGAGACCAGCAGTTTCCTTCATTTGTCCTACCAATTGCAAAGCGCTGAATGGAGCCTTGGAAAAAGCTTCCAAAGCGGAAGGCTCTAGAATTGCCTCTTCTTTCAAATATAAATCACTTTGTCTTTTAAGACAGTTACTGTTTGAAGAAGAGCAATCCACACTGTTGGACAGATCTGTATCATACTGCATAGAATCTGAAGAAGGTATGATGATTTTGTTTGTTTCAGAGCACAGTGGAGAATATGGCCTGGTGAAGCTATTACATGTGTTAGACTCAGTTTCCAAATAACAGGCAACATTAACATGCACCGGAGAAACACTGAAAGATGTCCCTTCCCAGTCAATGGCACTTAACTGCAGATTGGCAATTGCAGAAGCGGCAGGGGAAGCTGCCGACTGTTTGGGAAAGTCTGCCTGTGAGCTTAGAGAACTACCAGGATTGCATTTTTCTGCTTTATTTTGTGAAGCGAGTGAGGTAGATGAGGGATTTTGCCCTTGGCCAACCTTAGTAGAACACTGTGAGGCTCCAGGGGGATCCTGAAGTTCAGAGCCCTTCTCTGTAGAAACCGTTTCAAAATCTAACTTTTCATCCTTGCTGGGAAAGGTTTCCTGTGCAGATTGCAAGTTCAGCTGAGAAAGGAGATCAGCGACTTCATTGTCCCCTACTATGTGTTCTTTTTCTTTGAGTTTAGTCTTCTTTCCTGAGAAGATAGCCAAACAAAACACAAGACATTTTTTTAAAAAAAGATGACTTTGGTTTTTGTGATAAAGATAGAAGAAATTATTTCTTTCTCATTCTAAGGACAGAATAACACCCATATCCATGGGATCAGTATCCGTGACTTCATTTGTCCTCTCTAGGCATAGTCTAGGTCCTCCAGTGCAACTCAATGGATTTCTTGGACCAGAAGTCCGTCATTCCAATAGCATTTACTATTATCCATGGTTTTTCCATATCCACATGAAGTTAAGGGATGTATCCCCAATGGATACAGGAATTGTACTGTACAAACAGGTATATCATGATGCATGTGCTCAGTATACTGCAGTGCTTGGACATTTTTATTAGCAGGGATGAAACTACACCACACTCCCTATGCTTCCTTTTTTGAAATTTAGCTTCAATCCTCACAGTAATGGGTGGGATGGCTTTTTCCAGAATATATTTTTGTCAGTCAAACCCTACTCCATACTGGAGAGTAATTTGGTTTGTTCTTGGATATGGTGGCGCAGCGGGTTAAACGGTGAGCTGCTGAACTTGGTGACCGAAAGATTGGCAGTTTGAATCCAGGGAGTGGGGTGAGCTCCTGCTGTTAGGCCCGGCTACTGCCAATCTAGCAGTTCAAAAACATGCAAGTGTGAATAGATTAATAGGTTCCACTCCAGCGGGAAGGTAATGGCACTCCATGCAGTCATGCCGGCACATGACCTTGGAGATGTCTATGGACAATGCTGGCTCTTCAGCTTAGAAAGGGAGATGAACACCACCCCCCAGAGTTGGACACAATGAGACTTAATGCCAGTGGAATCCTTTATCTTTACTAGGTTGATATGAAAATGTTTACAACTGGTTTGTAGATACAGGTCAACACAATTCTTCTTGGAGGCACAGCTGCAGGGATAGCTACGAGTGTTCATACTTCAAAATTTACTACTACACTAAATTAAAGAAATACTGGCTAGGAAAGTTGGTTTCACTGAAATGTTCTGCTGACTGAAATGTATAAACCACTGTAGATTCATGAAGAAAATAATAATAGGAGAACAATATGTACTAATTATAAACAGAACAAAATGTAAAGCTTCAAGCTTACTCTTCTTTTTTCCCTTGGAAATATCAAGTTTCTCCATTTGATACAGGGCAACCACTTCTGGGTAGGCAGCCTGAAATAACATGGCTTCTTCTGTTGTTGTTATGAAGGGCTCTTCAGTTTGATCGTCAGCTATAGCATAGTGCTCTCGAGAAATAAATATAACATATTACAAGACTTAAGGTGGCAGACCAGAGATTATGCTGTTCTTCACTATATGCTTTCAGGAATCTTTCATGTCATCCCTTGGTGTTTACAAAGACAATACTGGAGAAGATCTGGTCTTCCAAATCTTTCAGACTTCATTTCCCAGATGCCCCAATGAGTATAGTCAACTGTGTGGGATTCTGGGCTTTGTATTAAAATTTAAAAGCTTTAAAATACTTTTACTATTCAAAGAGTGTAAAGGTTTCCTAAGTCTGGATAGTGTAAAGCTTACCAGTCTTTTAAAATGTCTTATTCCTGCACTTTAAATGGAATGGCATGAAAGTCCTATTACAGGAGTGAAGAAACTTTGATTCTTCAGATGACTGGAACTACAACTCCGATGATTCCTTATCATTGTTTGTCCAAGTTGGGGATGACAAGAATCATAGGGCCAGGGAGTTCCAGTGTATCCCAAATCCTTTCAATACAGCATAAATAGTAAGTGACACCAACCTGGTTTTTGCCATTCAATTTCAAAACAGGGAATTCCATTTTTAGTCCGTGTCTTGACTATCCTGTGAAACAAACAAGGAAAGAAAGAAATTACAACTTGAAACAATGGATGGAACGCAGGGAATAGGAAGCTCTGCATGTTTTGTATGATTTCAGAGACATAAAACATTTGTCTTGATGTAGTGGGGCTCTTTCTCCTTGACCTTCCCCCAACTTAGCTGCCACAAGGGCAAAGATACCCTCCTGCCCGATTAAACCAGGTCATTTGAGTATTAATTTCATACATATATGTCAGCCATGAGTGGAGGAAATGTCAGAAAAATAGTTCCTATTTATTCTGTGGAGTTCATAAACTGGAGTAAATGAAATGCAATCATAGTTTAAGGAGGCCATACAACTGTCTAGCCCTCTAGATACTGCTGGACTGACAGGGATACTAAATTGGGGTTCTTCTAGACCAGTGGTTCTCAACCTGTGGGTCTCCCCAGATGTTTTGGCCTTCAACTCCCAGAAACCCTAACAGCTGTTAAACTGGCTGGGATTTCTGGGAGTTGAAGGCCAAAACACCTGGGGACCCAAAGGATGAGAACCACTGGTCTAGACCCTGTATGTGGGATACAATTTAGGATGCTTCCAGTGTTGTGTGGACAGAGTATTGGCACTCTTTGTGTTTTCCTTTCACTTTGTACAACACTGCCAGAAATACAAGGCTGGCTTGAACTTTATATAAAGGTGATGTGTGGCTGAAGGGCAAGTGGAAAAGAAAAGTTATTGTTCACTTCTAGAATACATATTTCCCCCAGCGACAGAACTGAAGAGAAACAGAAAGTGTACTTTAAGAGTTTCACAAATTGGATTACCGTAGCGGCTGCAGTTGCTGGGGATTGGAATGGCCAAATTTCCTTCTGTTCATATCATAGTTTGTCAGAAGCACACACAATTTTTCGCAAGCATACTGCTCGGCCCAGTCCATTTTCTCAGAAGCAAATCTCTGTTTTAAACATGCAATTAAAACATTTTAAAAATATGGCTTTCACATTTTAAGTGCAGTTCAAATCCATTACCACTGTAGTGTTGTTATGCTCTCTGGAGAAATCTTAAAGTTAATATATATGAAGTTGACAGTCACAAACACCCACAGTGACATTATTGTGAGGGTCGGTGCACTTCCCTTGGAAAAAGTGGTGACTTGTCATTTTAAGATGACAGAACAGCCTATTGAAACACTGAAGGCAGATGGACTGAAAACCCAAGGAATTAGAAACTGAGGAAGCAGTCATTTTTTGAAGTCTACTACAGCTGCAATCCTACACAATGCTCTCTGGAAAGAAGTGGTGCTGTCGCACCCAAGCTGCTTTAAATGGCTTTATAGCTAATGTGACTTAACTTTACCCTTGGAAAACTAACAGAAAAATGGCTATTCTCAAGCTGTGGGTGACACAGCCAAACAAAATGAGCTGGGACCTATATAATTCAATTACAGAAGTCCTTTTAGATTCAATATGAACTGCATCATGGTAGCACAGCATAAGGCTTGTGCTGTAAGAATATATTCTTATAAATGGTTTAAAATGAAATCATTACATAGATGTTTTAATCTCCTTCAAGATGTACCTGTTTATCTCACTCTTTCTCTAGGGAGGTGAAAGTGGTTTACATAGTTATTCTCCATATCCATTTTATCCTAAGGTAGATTGGGCTAAAAGAGAGTATTTGGTTCAGTATGATTTATCTGGGTAATGGTGCTTGGCCTGGCATTTCAAACAGATTATGTTGTTTCCATTTTTTAAAAAATATGCCCAGTTCACAATGTTCTTCCACTTTACTAACTTTCATATTTTCGTTCATTCAACTTTATCTGCACCAGATAAATACCAATAGGAGCCCCCGGTGGCACAGTGGGTTAAACTGCTGAGCTGCTTAACTTGCTGATCAAAAGGTCACAGGTTCAAATCTGGGGAGCAGCGTGAGCTCCTGTGTTAGCCCCAGCTTCTGCCAACCTAGCAGTTCGAAAACATGCAAATGTCAGTAGATCAATAGGTACTGCTCCAGCGGGAAGGTAACGGTGCTCCATGCAGTCATGCCAACCACATGACTTTGGAGGTGTCTACAGACAACACCGGCTCTTCAGCTTAGAAACAGAGATGAGTACCAACCCACAGAGTCGGACACGACTGGACTTAATATCAGGGGAAAACATTTACCTTTATAAATACCAATGCAGTACACTTTCAAGTTTTTACAGTTAACAACGCAGACCTAAGTATGTCTACTCAAAAGTGTGTAAACTACTGCATCCAATGACTTCACTTCTATCTATGTCTACATATTTGGCATTAAGCTCCAAGGCAAATTTTGTATTTATTTATTTAATTATTTATTTAACTTGTATACCGCTACTCCCAATTTGGCTCGGAGAGGTTTACAGAAGCCGATTAAAACAATACAATTAGCTTTAAAAATAATAATAACAAAACAATAGACGGCGAGAACAGGCATAGTCCGGGTTGTTCACCCGTCAAAAGCTTGCCGGAAAAGAAAAGTTTTACAGGCTTTCCGAAAAGCAAGTAGGTCTCGGATGGTTCGAGTTTCAACCGGCAAGGCATTTTGCCCTCAATATGGAACTTAGGCTATAGGCACCACAAAACTAACAGTCAACCAGGACTAGAGAAGAGATATTTTATGTGTTTGTGTAAAAAGAAAGCACCTCTGGAAATACAATAGCAAGGAAACATCTTTTATCCTTTCTTATACTAAGATATGTCAGCTGCTATTTTTTATTTTTACTATTTTATCTCAGAACATTGGGCTTTCTATATAGAATGGTAGGCACATCCAACAGATAGGAAAATATGAAGATATAAATAAGTGGCTATAAGCTGTCCCTTTAGGACAGATATGTGAGGAATATTTTTTTCAAAATATTAGATGTGAAAAAATATTTCCTAAACCATTTCCTTGTCAGTTTTAACCAGCGTGTCCATAACATCACTCTAGACAAAGAGATCTGATTCATGCAGCAGATTTAGGACTATCATTAAATTGAAACAAGGCTCCTGTTTTTAAATTTAGTATACATATTTTTCCAATTTAGGTACAAAATATATGAGATTATATATTTGATAAAAGACCAGCTTTAATTTTAAAAGTGAATTGGAAAAAACTGCTATGTGTGTGTTTCTCTTGTGTCTCCAGAGTGATGGTTATTAAATAATTACAAAAGGATAAGTTCAGGCCAAAATGAATGGACTGATGTCAGCAGATATCAATAAGCATGCTATTTAAACAAATGGGCTTTCAAAGTGCTTTATTTGGCTAAATTGTGCTGACCAAGGTTTTTTATTATGATTTGAAGTTACTGTGGTTTTTCTCTAGAGTGATCAGATACAACCACAACTAATGCACATCTTAAACATCACGTATTCTGCACTAATATTTTTGTGCCTCAATTATTTCTTAAAATGGCCGATACCAGGATTCTTTAGCAGATGAAATGACAAGTACAGCCAGAGTTTCGTAGTATTTGTTGAATACAAAATCTGGGACTTGTAGTTCAGAAAAATGTTTCCAAGCCCAACTCATTATTGATAAGGAGGCCTAAAGATTTACACCACTGTAGCCAGCAAAAAAAAAAATTTAAAAAAATCTGTATTCTTTTCTGTACCTGAAAAGTGAGCAAGTTTGGCCTTTGGTTCTCATTTAGCTTCCTCAGTTTGTCTTTGCTGATGAGATACTCTTGGATGACCTTGATAGGGAAACAGAAAAAGTAAGAAGAGCAGGTGTTTGGATAAGAAAATTCCAAGAAAGCAATTGCCCTTGGGAAAACAAGGACTGTGTGTGCTAAATTACCTCTGGAAATGGAAAGCCTTCACATGCCTTGGCTTTTCTGCAAATAAAGTATAGACATTACAGACAAGTCGAAATGAGAATACTGCAGAGCTGGTACAGATTCCCTAAGGGATTCAGAGCAAAGAGAAGCACACCTACTTCCTGACAGCTTCCTCCACTACATTGGCTCGCCAGTGCCTCTCAGACAAATGCCAGTCACAAGGGCAGCAGGATTCGGCACCGTGGGGCTCACAATACCCCACAGTGCCACAGAGATGGCACCCAGTCTGCTCATGTTCTTTGTGAGATCCTATAGGGTAATCAGAGCAAGACAACAGATAAAATAGCCTCTTCAAACAGAAAGTTATATTATTTAAAGTTCTTTAAAGCAGTGTGTTCCAAGTTATCAGGTGGGGGTGGGAGTAAATGCCCTCCCTCGCAATGTCAGGAACCAGTACCATATTGTGCTGATTGGTAACAGTTTTTCCTGTTAGAGATAGCAACCTTCTCAAGCCTCCTCCATTTAACGTTTGCCTGTGTATAATGTGTTGTTTATTTCCTGAAGTGTATGTCTTCTTTGGTTTGCAGTTTTCTGAGCACTATGTACTTGAGGCAGCGGGAGGGGCTGCAGACCATGTGACTGGTTCAGTGATGTTTAGAATGCAGTGTAAGAAGGATGACAGTTGAGCCTTGAGTCAGTTTTGAGCACAGAACTCAGTGTAGAAAGTTAGAAAACTGTTGAGGCTTCAATCCCTTGGAAGTAGACTGTTTTGAAAGAGAGCTGTACAGAGCAATATAGTTTTGAAGAGACTGATAAAGACTATAACTTAAAGATACAAACTGAAATGTTTTAAAGTTTAACCTGACAAGAATTGTGCCTGTATAGTTAAATACATTAAGTTGAGTAAAACAAACATGTTATTTTAAAGAAGTCTCCTTGAATCTTTGTCTGCTGAGAGCATCAAATAGTAACAAGATATTTACATGCCCAGTGCTCATCCATTACCCAATAAACTAGAGGAACACTTCCAAAACTCTGCTACTCAATAGGTTATTGAGCAATCCATACCCCAATAGTTTCTTTATTGCCTAGAGCACAACAGGAACTGCAAAGATCAACAGTTTATTTAGCACTGCCTCCAAATATGCAAAACTGCACAAGCAAACAACGTACAGAAAGGTCCTTCTTTCCATCCCTGCCATCTTCTGAACTACATCTAGAATAATTGGAAGAGAGGGCTTTCATGGTGCCTGCACTTAGTTCTTGGAATACCCTATGGATTTTGGTATTCATGGGGAGAGGGGTGGCTAGAATCAAATATTGACCCCCCCAACTCCTGTAGTCACAGAACTATTATGTCATAGAATCATAAAGTTGAAAGAGACCACAAGGGCCATCCAGTCCAACCCCCCGCAATACAGGAATACACAATCAAAGCACCCTTGATGGATGACCTCTAGAGAAGGAGTCTCCACCACACTCAGAGGCATCTCTTACTGTCAGGAAGTTCTTCCTAATGTTTATGTGGATTTTTGTTTTCCTAAAATTTGAATACATTGGTACATGCCCTGGTCTCCAGAGCAGCAGAAAACCCCTCCTCGATGTGACAGGAGACTATGCAGCTAACAAAAGGGTGGTGAATTGGTATGTTGTAGAATCCATAGAGAGGAATAAACCACTGATGATTACCATGTTGCTTTAGCAAGAGCCTTCTACTTTTCTTTAGAGATAAAATACATTGCTTATCCCTGTTCATCTATTACTTAGCAGCTGCTCAAGCCAATCTCTTATTATTCTGCCTTCTATAGTAGTGTAACAAAAGGCTACTAGGCCACTAGACACTGTTCTCTTTGTGCTATTTTCTCAAAGTCATGAATTGGCTTACCTGGATGGTGACACACAGCACAGTGAGACAACTTTTTAATCGGCATGGGTGGGATGTAATCAGATTGGAAGTTGTCTTTCCAGTACTCAAATCTAAAACAAATGTAAATTATGGGTACTATAAAAACATCGGTTTGACAAACAATATAGCTCACATCTGTGTTACATATTGCCTATTTTACAAAGCTCACTTTGAATATATATTACAAGGGTGGGAAACTGTCAGGAATTGAGGAGTACGTTGGACCCTCATGAGAATTATAAGTTGCTTACCTGTAACTGTAGTTTCCTGAGTAGTCACCTGTGAATTCGTACATCTGGTATCTCTGCGCCTGCGCAGAGCAGCACTCGGAACCTTCTAGAAAATGAATACCTCTTTTCTTCTGCTCTATTTCCCATCTTTGACTTTTCTAAACCTTTTTCTTTCAAAATTTAGACTCAAATTACTACATTTCCAGATTACTGCCTGGTCCTTCCTGGGTCTAAAACAGCTGGAGAAAAACAAAAACATTGAGAATCCAATCCCTAGGGCCTCTACGGGATGGAATTCTCAACGTTTTTGTGCTTCTCCAGCTGTTTTAGACCCAGGAAGGACCAGGCAGTAATCTGGAAATCTAGTAGTGGAAGGTTTAGAATATATATATTAAAAACTGGACGCACTTAAAACCCTCAAAATGAGCTAATATGCATTGCATTTTGCCTGTCCCTAATATGGCACAATTATAAGGATTTATTTCTCAGAGTTTTACTGACTCCTTAATATTTCAAAGCAACTGGATCCTTTCTACTGGCATAAAATAACAGATGAGAAACCCAGGCTTCTGATTTTAAAAAGAGGAGACAATTGGCACAGCTTGAAAAAGCTGTCCACTGCCGTGTTGGCTTCTTCTGAAAACTACAGTTCAAATAATAACTCTGTCAAGCTCCAAAGATTACATATATTCAGAACGGTCTGAAGACACATGACACTTTTATATTATCACTTCAATTATATTCTGACTTTTTTCCAAAATAAGGAGTCAAGGCAGCTGAATCTCATTGCAGATGTGTTCCTATAAGTTGGGAAGTTAGCTTGGAAACGAATAATAAAATGATGTGAGCTCTGCTAACCAGAAGTGGTGTATCAACAAAATATATTTTATAGTAAGATATAACCCAAGAATGTATGTTCAAAACTCATAAAGGTTGTCATGAAACTACAGAAGAAAAAAGTAGGAAGCAGAACCATCCTAATATCTCTGCTCAAACACCAGCATTGCCTTCTTCTTACTTTCTCTGAACTGTTTCAGTTAAAAGGTCAATTATGTTTAAGTTTTGGTGCATAAAAAATCAGCCCCAGAAAACCCCATGAAAAGGAAAAGGATCGCCTTAGGATCACCATAAGTTACAAACAACAAAAGGCACATACAACAACATTGATGCATGAACTTCCTTTTCTCCTTATCCCTAGCCATTCATCCTTCCTTTTATGTTACATTTGTAAGCATAAGACTATGGGCTGAAAATATCTTTTGTGACTAGAGAACTGTACAAAAATTAACTAACTAGCTGGTTAATGAACCTATATTTCTCATTAAGGTGGTTCCCAATTATACAGTCCAGTCTGGGGTATAAATCACATTTGTTAAATTCTAACACTTGCACTGAATCAGCTTCCCTGAAACCACATGCTCAGAAAAGAAGGCTGGGATTTAAGAGACAAGATAAATTATACCTTTGCAGTAAACTCTGTCCTTTCAAAGTGCTAATCAGCCGTAAAGCCTGTTCTTTTCCAACTCCAGGAACTCCCTTTTGGAGACAAGAGGACATTTGAGATTGACACAGTATAGATAAATGTACTGTGTAACAGTATCCTGCAAACTGCTGCATGAGAAACATTCTATATATACCCATGTATAACTCTAGAAAATTGGTCAAAACAATTGGACTTATCCATGGGTCATTGTAAGCATCTTAGTTCTTATTTTAAAAGGATCCCTCCCCTTCCCTGAGTAGAGTGATGGAAGGATAGAGCTTAGTCTGTCTCAGGGAACTTTTAAAAAGCATTGACTCCTCTACTATCTCTGCTGCAGTGTCACTTCTGGCATTTTTGAACGATTGGGTAGGTAAATGGCAGTTGGGACCAGGGCTGGCTGCCCTTCTGAAATGATGATGCTGTTTACTCTCTCCCTGAAATGACCCTTGATTTATCAATGGGTCATATCAAAATCCATAATTTGGGCTCAAAACCTGCTCTTGACCTAAACACAGGGTCAACTTATATATAATATTCCTGTTCTTGCAATGGCTGTACTTGGACATAATGATAAGTCAAAAGACAGAGTATTGGCAGGTTATTTTGCATGCAGGAGTGCAGTGAGGCACACTGCCCGCTTCTTCCCACATGCAGCAGGAGCTGGTAAACCAAGCTGGGCAAATTTAGTAGTTCCTGAGACAAATGTCTTCCTCTGGACCCTCCTGCAAGCTATAGACCTGACTCAGTGGCACAGCGAGGTGGGTTTTCCCTCCACTTGGGTTTTTTTTTAGATACCTGGTTTTAAAGCTAATGCAAAGTATGCTAGGGGGATGACCCTTTCTAAAAACCTAATTTTTAAAAAGTGTCATCCTGCCAAAATAGGATGAGATCCCCCATATTTGGAAGAGTGGCCTATAAAATGCATACTGAGTCACATATGGCCTAAATCAGTGGTTCTCAAACCTGTGGGTCCCCAGGTGTTTTGGCCTACAATTCCCAGAAATCCCAGCCAGTTTACCAGCTGATAGGATTTCTGGGAGTTGAAGGCCAAAAACATCTGGGGACCCCAGGTTGAAAACCACTGGCCTAAATAAACCACAGAGTGCTGCTCCATAAAGGTAAAGGTAGTCCCCTGACATGAAGTCCAGTCATATCTGACTCTGGGGTGTGGTGCTCATCTCCATTTCTAAGCCGAAGAGCCAGCATTGTCCGTAGACACCTCCAAGGTCATGTGGCTGGCATGACTGCATGGAGCGCCGTTACCTTCCCGCCGGAGCGGTACCTATTAATCTACTCACATTTTCATGTTTTCGAACTGCTAGGTTGGCAGAAGCTAGGGCTGACAGCGGAAGCTCACGCCGCTCCCCAGAATCGAACCTGCGACCTTTTGATCAACAAGCTCAGCAGCTCAGTGCGCCACCAGGGGCTCTCTAGTTGTAGCCAATTTTTAGGCTTCACTGGTTGATCATCAGCCTGGATGAACCATAGAACAAATTTGGGTTTTTTTCTCCCCCTCTGGCTTGTTGGGTGCCTTTGAAATGTTGTTGCTGTTTCCAGTTTAGTAAAAATGTTATTTCCTAAACAGAATAAATAAAATGCATGTTCCCCATGGAAGTGCAACATTGTCTTCTTTCAAAAAGGGGTGCAATTCTCTTTGGACTGCAACAAATCTGTTGCAGTAAAACAACCAGTTCTGGGATTTTAAAATATGGCATGTAAACTGTAATGACATAATCACAAGGAAGGTAACTATGGGATTAATTAGGTTTGGTACCAGAGGAGTTAGGCTGTGCAAAAATATGAAGCGTGATGAAGTATAGTGAGCAGTTGGCACCCATACAGTAAAGTTAAAACATAGTAGGAAATTGTATAGCTCTCCAAATGCTATTGAACTGCAGGCCCCAGCATTTCTCACCAATGCCTCTACTGGTTAGAGCTGCTGGGAATTGCAGTCCAATACATTTGAAGGACTACATTATTTACAAATAATTATTTAGCCTTTATACTGGAGCTTTACACATGAGGCTTTACACACAAGGCCTTCAACCTGGAGCTTCTCTTGCCAGGCCTTCCCATAGACTAAGGCCTAACTCATACTGTGAGGGCTACCTCACACAGAGGCTTCCCTCACAGACTAAGGCCTACCTCACACTGTGAAGGCTTTTCTCAAACTGAGACTTTTCTCCCACTGAGGTTACCTCAGACTGACTGCTACTAAGCTACAGGCACACCTGCTTATATAGAACTGCATCGCATCTACTTAACCCTTTCAGTGCTTCACTCACATTTTTGTATTTCAAAATATCTAGTTAATTTTTAATATTTCTGACAATTTCCTTCCCTGACTTAGACAGATACACACAGGAATGTAGTGGTCAGCTATGTTTTGGAGACACAATCAGGAATGTTATCCAAAGAACTAAAATTATTTCTGTAACATTGGAAGCATGAAGCATTGGGCTGTAAGTAGCTGGAATTTGTAAAGCACTGAAGGGGAAAGAAGCAACCACACAACTTGATGATCATTGAATCTGAACTTCAAGGTTCATTTACATCTCCCTTTGAGCCCATGGTTTAACAGGAAATTCTGCCTTCAAATATATTATACTATGCCTCACAAAATCCCTTACGAACATTATGTTTAGGGCTCCTTGGCGTCCAAAGGCAGAGGAACAAGAAACCCTTTTGTGAAGTTCAAACCAAACATGCATTGAATACAGATGAGTTATTGAAAAGTGAGCAGCCCCTTGCAAAGGCATGTTGAGAACTGAAGAGATGCATTGCCACAAGCAGGGCCATCAGTTACAACCTGACAAGGCCAGGTAAGGTGACTATTAGGGGGAATGTGCACAGAATTAAGCACAGAAAGGAAAATCTCCTCCCCAGCACACGTGTGAAATTAATCATGTTAAGGAACAGCCCCTCAATTATATGGCTGACAAAAAATATGTGAAGAGCTCAGACCATTTTGGCTCACTTTCTGTACAGACTATTTTATGTAAATATGTTTATATGCCTCTGCTGATAAAACACCAAAGACAAACTGAGCAAAGTGGAAAGATGGGAAGCAGCTGGCTAGATGAGGGCAATGATATTTTGACATGGAAATCAAGAGTCAAAACATTGGAACATTTTTATTTAGACAGCTGCACCAGCAAAACAAAACAAAAATGCCAGAGAGAGACATAAGGCTATTGCAATAGGACGTGATATCCTGCACTGCAGCATTTGCCAGCTGACAGCTAAAACAAAGCTATCAAACAGTATGGTGTATTGATATTGTCAAAGTATAAATAACATTAGAGAATGAAACCACTATCACCGAAAAGAGAGATTTGTGTGTGAAGGTGGGGAGCGAAATTGTGGCAATTCTCACCCACTGCTTGCCATCATTACTGTTCAAAGTGGCCAGAAAGCAGTGGCAGTAGTAGTGGGACACTGAGACGTTTAACATTTAAAGCAAATGTAGCAACAGCATAGCCAATCTTCCAGATATGCTTGGGCTGCAACGTCCATCAGTATAAACAAGGAGAAAGGATGATGAGAACTGTTGTTCAGACATTGAGATTGAAGGACTGACAATATAATTCATCAATGTGACCTTGCTAAATCTATTTTCCTAATTTAGCACATGGAGCAGAGTGTCTTTTCTACTCCAGAGAGAGTACTGATCATCTAAAGGTTTCATTTGCAGAAAGGTGGTGGTGTTTAATTACTATTCCCACAGTTCTTTTATCATTAGCTATGCAGTTTGGGGGGCAATGGGAATGGTAGGTGTAAAAGACGACGAACAAATGACATAAATATCTATATCTATATACAGATAAAAACTAGGGTGGTGAGGAAAGTAAAGTAGTGGTGGTGTGTGTTGCTGAGGCTTGACTTTTTAAATGGTTTTTTACTTGAGGTACTTTTTAAAAGGAGTAACTCATTACCCCAGCCAGAATCCTTTCTTCTAATATCTTCAGCCGCCTTCTTCTGAGGTAAATCTCCTTCTCAATAAATAGACATGAGTCTTAATTATAAAGAACTGATCAAGGAAATATTTATTTAAGGATTCACAGGTGTACAAGGTTTGATGGTTAATCAGTATTCCTTTAAATGTTGCCACATTTGACTTTAGTTAACACAACTACTTGTAACAGTTTTCAATATAACTCTCAGTATGGCTTTTACTTCCACCAGACTGGTTTTAAACTTATTTCACTTCAAAGTATCTTTCTTTTCTTAACTGACATAAGGTACTGGCTTGCCTTATTCTCCCTTCAGCTATCCCCACTGAAGTTATAGATACTTCTGGGTTTTCTTTTTCCCTTAGCTCACGAGCTAATTGCTAATTTAAACAGGTCCAATTGACTTTCTACACCCTTTTTAAACAGAGGGCCAGATCACAGTCTTTCAAAGTTTTGGAAGGCCAGATTATAATCTGAAAAAAAAAACCATGAATGAATTCCTATGCACACTGCACATATCTTATTTGTAGTGCAAAAAACACATAAAAACAATACAATACTTAAAATGAAGAACAATTTTAACAAATATAAACTTATTAGTATTTCAATGGGAAGTGTGGGCCTGTTTTTGGCTGATGAGACAGGATTGTTGTTGTGTGCTTTTAAGTCATTTCAGATTTAGGTTGACCCTGAGCAAGGGCCGGGTAAATGACCTTGGAGGGCCATATCCGGCCCCCCAGGCCTTAGTTTGAGGACCCCTGCTCTACACACACAGGCTGAATACTTAAATCCCTTGTTTTGGTTTCCCAGCACACCAGAACCAGCTTCCTCACCAAAGACTGACTCCCTCTATCAGTGGTAGTTAGCTCCGTCCACTTTGACTTCTGGCTCATCTAACTTGGTTACATTCCTACAACAGGCTCCGTCACTATCGCAACCACAGCAAATGTTGGCCTGCACATATCATATCACAACATCAATAAACATATGTAAAACATACATTATAATTATCTATTTCTTTACAGTAAGCCATCATTTTGTTAACAGCTGATAGAAAAGAAAATGTACCGTAGATACACAAGTATAAGCTAACCCGAATATAAGCCGAGGCACCTGATTTTACCACAAAATATAGGAAAACGTATTGATTCGAGTATAAGCCGAGGGTAGGAAATGAAGCAGCAGGTACTGGTAAATGTCAAAACAAAAATAGATACTAATAAAATTACATTAATTAAGGCATCAGTAGGTTAAATGTTTATGAATATTTACATAAAACTGTAATTTAAGTTAAGACTGTCCAACTTCGATTAAATCATTATTCTAACTTTCTTCAATGTAAATGTGCTTACGTATCCTTCCAATAATAATAGAGTAACATAATAAATGTAATAAAAATAATAATATAGAAAAATAATGGGAATATAACAACAACAGCAATAATAGAGTAAAATAATAAATGTAATAATTATAATAATATAGTAAAATTATATATGTGTGTGTTTGTGTGTTCGTTTTTAGTGACATCATAACTCAAAAACTGCTGGACAAATTGCCACCAAATTTGGCCACAAGACACCTACTAACCCTACTAGCCCAAGCAGTGACAATCACTAAACCCCCCTCCCCAAAACAGCAAAAAGCACTTTAAAACCCCCAAAATAAAAATTACAACACATGTGTGAATGCCTCTCTCCTCGCACAAAGGAAAACCAATACACCAACCATCCATAGCGAGCTGCCCATTCCTGCTGGCGCCGAATGAGGCCTAGCCATGGAGTCAGGCTGTGGCTCGTACACACTGTAGAGCAGTTGCAGTTTGGCCCCACTTTTAATTCTGGAGGGGCAGCCAAGGCAGCTGCCAGGAGGAGGGCGGCAACCGGATGCCCAGCAGCCATAGCCGGCCCGAGACTCCCAATGCAAGGGATGAAGGGAAGACGGAGGCAAAGGCAGGCAGGGAATGAGGTAGGGAGGCAAAGAGGGAGGCTCGGCTCCTCAGAGTGATTCCCACACACTAGACTTCAACTCCCAGAAGCCTCTGCTACCCTGGACAGTGAGAAAGGAAACTTGCAATTGAAGTCCAAAACACTTAGTGTTTCCCGCTTTGTCTCTTCTGTTCCCTCTGTTTGGCCTTCAAAGCTGGATAGTGGATGGCGGAGCCATTGATAGCAACCTTTTAAAGGCTTTTTCAGTCTAAAAAGGGGGCTGAAAAACACAGCTTATACTTGAGTATATATGGTATATTACATTGACAGCCAGTGTTTGCAATGGCTTGAGTTTTGGACCAAGACTGTGGAAGGCCGGAATTTGAATCCCTGCTCAGCCAGGGAAACCCACTGCGTGACCTTTGGCAACTGACATTCTTGTGGCTTCAGAGGAAGGCAATGGGAAACCCTCTCTCAATAAATTATGCCAATAAAACAACATGACAGGTTCACCTTAGGGTTGCCATGTCATAACAACAATTCCATTAGCATTCATTTTTGCTTTGCTTCTTTACCTTGGGGAGATAATCACAGCCAAGCAGAATGGCTAATCCTATCAGAGACTCTCTGCTGCATCCTAGTTTCTCCTCAATAGCTGATATCGAATAGCAGTCAACATGTGGGTCCTGTAGAGAATATAACAAGATAGCAATAATCTTTGTAATTGAATCATGCTCAGTATGGCTTCAATCATAGCTTAGAAACATTATAATTTTGGGGATATGATTCTGAAAATCTTCAGGTCTGCATAGCCAGGGCCTGTTGAAGTTTGGGGGAAGCTGTAAACCAAAGCATTAAGAATTGCTACTTATTATGTTTGCTGAATAAACTTCCTCTGCTAAAGCCAAAAATAAACAAATACAACATTAAACAAAGACAAAAGAATGCCAATAAATGCTGTGGGAATTGGGGAACTGGCAAATGAGGTATAGCTCACATCTACATAGAAATTGCGGTCCCATGAGGAAAGCAGCCAACACCTAATGCTTCCCATGTCACATTCACATACAACAGGGGGACCAGGACATGGGGCTTTCCAAATATTTATGGTTTGCAGTGCCTAGCATCCCTACCATTTCTAGGACTGCAGTTCAGTGATATCTAGGATACTACACCTATCCATCCCCGAAATAATGCCAAAATAGCCTCGGAAGGTTAATTGTTTCACAGTGCTACCATCTGACTGTACTGGCAAGGCTTACAATCCCAGAAATGGCTATTCAAATCTACATCCCACTGAGTAACTGACCTTAACACCAGTTTCAATGCATCTTAAATGATGTGATGTCTCCCTTGCCCCTCAAAAATCAGAAGAGTAGCAGCAGCGTGGTTGTTCAGCCCATCACGTTTGTTGTGTTCTGTTAAATTCAAAGGAAGCCCATTCCAGCAGAAGCCCATGTGGATTACCTTTGTGTTCATGGTAAAATTCCGGTAAACTGTCTGAGCACCATAAAGGAAGGCATCCCCGTCATTGGTGATGCAGGCATCCACATAGCCATTGCTGTTCAGGTAAGCACACATGGCCTCTGCTTCACCAGCTGCTTGAACCCAAGGGACTCCTAAGCACTCCAGCATCTCAAGGCACTGAAGAAGCAACAATGTCAAAAGAAGAAGCACTAAAATGTAAAACAGTGACTTCCAGACTTTGGTCTCCTCATACCTAATGATTATACCTATAATAATATAATAATAAAACTTTATTTGTAGTCCGCCACCATCTCCCCGAAGGGATTCGGGGCGGCTAACATGAGGCCAAGTCCAAGTAATTACAATAAGGCAAAATAAAATGCATACAAAACAGACAATAACATCAAATAAAAATGCTTAATAACATAGCAATGCAATAAAATAGTGACAATAACATAATAAAACAAAGTTTAAAATGATAGAATAATTAAACAAGGGCGATACCTATGTTATGATCCGAAAACATTCCATAATCCATGTGGGCCAAAGATCTGGAATGTTTTGTAACTGTGTAACTGTAGTGTATATACAGGCATATCTCAGTTAGCAAAGCCTGTTACAAAGAAGCTTCTTTTGCAAAGCATTTTTACTAGAGCTCAGACCAGCTCCCTGTGCAACTTTGGCTTCTTAAGCTTTTTGCCTTGAGATTTTTTTAGGCACAAGAAATGTTTACATGACCCCAGCATATGTGTGTGTGTGTGTGTATACACACACACACACACACACACACACACACATATACACAGAGAGAGATACATTCAATATGTATACTACACACACACACATTTGTGTATATTTTATGGGTATATAAAATAGATATAAAAATCAAACGTTTATTGATAAATCACCATTTGCAAGGCTTGCTAAACAGGCTGCTCTTCCTTTTTGTGTAGTACAGCTAAAGCATCTCCTGCAGAGTTCACGGTAAACTCTGCACAACAGAGTCATGTAATTGAGTAAAACAGTCACTAATTGATGTTTAGAAAAAATTTTCTGTTGCCAAATTTTTGGGAACCCAACACTGAGGTAAGGGAATCCTATTAAGCAGTTCTCCAGCTATGCCACTGCAACTTTCATTAGCCTAGCAATACAATGAAAGATGATGGGTTCTGCAATTCAACAGAAGCTGAAAGGTCATGAGTTTTTCACTCCTGAGGGATCAATCATAATGTCTCCTAGATCACAGAGCAAGAACTGTGGAGTTTCATAGCCCTATAGAAATAGGTAGAATGACATATGTTGATTGACAAATCTGAGAACCATACAAAACAGCCTGAAATCAGAGGAAGTCTTTAGCTACCATTCTCTTAGATGACAGTTGACTAAAGATGCATCATTCTACACCAGTGGTTCTCAACCTGTAGTTCCTCAGATGTTTCAGCCTACAACTCCCTGAAATCTCAGCCGGTTTACCAGATGTTAGGATTTCTGGGAGTTGAAGGCCAAAACATCTGTGGACCCACAGGTTGAGAATCACTGTTCTATGCCATAGAATCAATGCAGTTTGACAGCACCTAAAGGGTAATGGCTCAATGCCATTGAATCCTGGGAGTTGTAGTTTCTCTTTGACAGAGAAAACTAAAGATCCTGTAAATCTACAACTCCCAGGATTCCATAGCTTTGAGACATGTCAGTGATATCAAACTGCAAGAGGAAACCAATACAGTTCCTGTGTGTCTTAAAATATATTGAAACACGTCAAAACATTGCATGCATTCTAAATTCTGGTAAATTTTTGGCCAGATGTATAGAATATGATTTTAACTAATATTTACACTTGCCATTCTATGAAAATAACAGTCCATATACAACACCCTGAAAATACAACCAGCCAAGGCAACTCACCTCTTTTAGGAAAGACCTGAAGTGAGACCTCCCTGTTCTTGTAGTACCAGGCTTCTTAGATGGCCCAAAGCGGATCTCTTTTCTCTTCTCCATTGTATTTGCTTTCAGTTTTGGAGCATCTCCTTCCATGACAAACACCAGATGGATGCCCATCAGTGTTAAAGAGGAGAGACGAAAGAAAAGATTCCTGTAATATAAGAAAGTGAAACCAATTTCAAACAAGATGTTTGCTGGCAGACACTGGTGGTTAGCTAAATATTTAATGAGACGCATGCATGTGCAAGCACATTTTCACAAGGAAGCCGTGGTGCCTGGTGACTTCTCTGCCAGGTAATCTATAACAGGTTTTAGTCTGAGCTTGAAAAGAATGGTTCAAGGTGTTGAATTGCATCCTCAAAATAGATTTGACACTTTGGAGAAGAACTTGGAAGGACGAACCAGAGTGCTCTACTCTTGACTTTCCTCATTCCTTACCTCCTATGACTTATAAAAGAAACAAAAAATAAACTTATCTCCCATAGCAGACATCAATTACCAATATAGAACTGATTCATTTCTTTTCATGCTTAAAATGTTCATTGCTTTTGGCAAAACTATTAACCTAAAGATTTCACGCTTGCTTCAAAAATACTTTTTAATTAAAAACAAATGGGAAGAAATCCAACTTTTTATATAAAATACGTATTTGTTGGTACAACATGCCCTTTGGATGGAATGGTGACATTCCCTTTGCAAAGTAATTCAAACACAGCTACTATGGCGGCATGAATAAGCAGCACATGTTCATGATTTATTTGATTTACTTTTGGGATGTTATTCTGGGGCCATTTTTAGGGTTTCTTCCCAAATTTGTAGGGGTCATGGTGGCGCATGGGGTTAAACCGCTAAGTTGCTGAACTTGCTGACCAGAAGATTGGCAGTTTGAATCCAGGGAGCAGGGTGAGCTCCTGCTGCTAGGTGCAGCTTCTGCCAAGCTAGCAGTTTGAAAACATGTAAATGTGAGTATATCAATAGGTACTGTTCTAGTGAGAAGGTAACGGTGCTCTTTGCAGTCATGCCGCCCACATGACCTTGGAGGCGTCTACAGACAACACCAGCTTTTTGGCTTAAAAATGGAGATGAGCACCAATCCTCAGAGTCGGACACTACTAGACTTAATGTCAAGGGGAAATCTTTCCCCCAAATTTTAGGTCATGTAACAAGGCTAAAATCAGGACACCAAGGCTAAAATCCCCACTTATCAATGGGTGACTTTAGAGTAAACCAAGGGGGAAAAGCATTGAACAAATCTTGTCAAGAAACTATAGGTTTGCCTTAGAAAGTACATCAGAAAGTACTTCACCAACAATTATAAACATATACCTTATAAAACAGTAACGTAACAAATATCTTTAAAAATGTTTTTTGTAATGCTAACTGCAACCCAATATTGAGTGGGGACTTCATAATGAGTTAGAGAACAAATTACTTTCAAATATGTTTTACACTCGAGGAGAGTAGGAAATAAAGACAAATGTTCTCTTTAGTCTACTACATAAGGTAAGAAACTTTTTTTGCCGGAAGTTAGTCACATAAAAGGATAGTTTACCTACCGAAGATGAGGTTTTTTGACGATTCCCATCATCTTTTTAACCATCTGTGCTTCACACACCCAGAGACTTAAATCCACAGCCAAAGTCTTTCCCTTAAGACTGCTGAGGGGAACATGCTCTTTGACGGGTTCCAGGATCTGCCACAGACTAGTCACCCCCATCACTCCAAATATTCAGACTGCATTGGCTGCGAAGATCAACATAAACACATTTGAGGACACTGATAAAGACCCTTAAATTACAACCAGCCACACTTTGGCAAAGGATATTCTAAGTATATGAGCCTGGATGAACTTACATGGGTTTCAGTCCCATTAAAAGCATGGAGCTTACATCTGGTCTATAGGTTGTTGCAAATAACAAGGAGTCTCAATGTTCCACTCTCTTAATTTTGGGACACTTTGGATGCATTCAGGCCTGGTTTCTGGACTAATTTTTGTGCACACATTCTACATAGCAAGCTTTTTAAAATGATATGAAGACCCCCGAAGGTTCAGATATGTATTTCTTTCCTTCAGATTTTAGAATACTTATATATACCTAATGAGATGTCTTGCAGGCTGGGCCCAAGTCTAAACACGATGTTCATTCATCTTTCACATATATACAGTACATAGCTTGAAGGTAATTTTATGCACATTTTTTAAACAATGTGCATGAAACAAAGTTTGCGTCCTCTGAACCATCAAAATGCAAGGTTATCACTATCTCAGCCACCCAGGCAAATTATTTTAGATTTCAGAATTCCTGATAAGGGATGCACTTTCCTTCAATAGCTGGACCACTTTATTGAAAAAGGATTTTTGGATCTACACAATTACTTTTTCATAATTCATATTTGCCACCTAGAGCACACAAAAGTTGGGGCACGCGACGCATTTTTGAGAGCTCAGCCTTTAAATTGGTATCCCATTCCTCACTTTGCATTCACTGATTTCAGCACAATCCTAGGCATGCTTACTCATGGCACTTTCTGTTCTATGGGATTGACTCCTAGGTAAATCTGGTTGTGCAAAGGGTTTTTGGCCCCTTCTACACTGCCATTTTTTCCTGTCAGGAGTGACTTGAGAAACTGCTAGTCGCTTCTGGTGTGAGTGAATTGGCCATCTGCAAGTATCTCTTATCCAAAATGCTTGGGACCAGAACAGGCCCGTAGCCAGGATTTCGATTCGGGGGGTGGGGGTGAGTTTGTTTCGGGTGGGGGGGGGTGAGTCTGAGTGAAAGAGGGTCTACCCTAGCAAACCTTGTATCGTTACCCCAATACCCCCATGCATATGCGATATATTGAGCATGGTGATCAGATCATGATATGAATAAACATAACAGTTTAAATAATGCACCAGTAAGGCCTTTTCGCGAACCACCATGAGAATTTGGGGGGGGGGGGGGCTGAAGGCCCCAAGGCCCCTCCCCCCCCCGGCTACATGACTGGATCAGAAGTATTCCATATTTTTTCAAATTCTGGAGTTTGAAATACCCACTCAAAAATGTAGATATCTTGCAAATAGGACCCAAGTTGAAAACAAGAAATTCATTGATGCGCCACATGCCTAGTCTGGAGGCAATTTTAGACACAACATTTTTCAATAATTTTGTGAATGAAACAAAGTTTGTGCCCACTGAACCATCAAAAAGCAAAGGTGTTCCTATTTCAGCCACCCATGTGGATGGTTTTGGATTATTTTGCATTCAGAATGTCAGCTAAAGGATGCACAACCTTTATCTTCCTTGAGAATATGCGCTACATTTATGAAACAGGATTTCTTGACCGACACTCTGCAACTACTTTCTCGTAATTTATATCTATCAGCCAGAGCAAGCCAAGCTTAGGATAAAAAACATATTTGGAAAAGGTCAACTCAACTGATTTCTCACAGTTGATTTATTAATTCATGTGCATGCTCCAGTATGTTCAATGGCGCCAACTCCCAGCCAAATCTGACCAGAATTGCAGCCTTAATTTATTTCTGCCCCTCCCCTTCCCTTGTGATTATCCCTTCTATTTGTGATTTTCCTTTCTGACACCTCCCTACTCTTCTCACGTTTTGCCTTTCATGTTCCATCCATCCTGTTATTTTCCTCTCTTCATCCCCAGCCTAAATTAACACCCCTTTCTTCTTTGCCATACTCCTGTGCTAAGTATCCTAGTAGTCTCTCCGCCAAGGATAAGATAACTGAAATTCCTCAGGTTATTCTTCATCCCAATCTTTTTTTAAAAAGTCAAATATAATGAGATGGAAAATAAAAACAGAATCACTGTCATTTTCACAAAGACGCTTAGAACAGACAAGACTGATTAAAGCTACAGCCTCATACACATTTACCTGAGAGTGTCTCCTATTGAACTCAAGGAGATTGTTGTTTTGATCTGTTTTAGCATAAAAATAAATCAAGTACTGTACAACCTTTGAGACTAACTGGGAAAAGAAATTGCCAGCATAAGCTTTTGTGGACTATAGTCTGCTTTGATAAACCGACTGCAGTTATGCTTTAAATGTAATTTCCCCACATAATCTCAAAGAGGCTGCTGGGTTCATTTCTGCCTTTTTCTTTTACAAGACTAAATCTTATCATTAGTTCTAAACAGAATAATCCCACTGTATCAATGAGATTAACCTTTGTGTTAAATTACCATTCAATATTAAGTGGTTTTAGTCTAGTTGAGACTAACCAAAAGGATGTCAGTCAATGGATCAAAACAGGCTACTTTCTATTGCACTGCTTAATCTCCTGTGATTTTAGAAGGCTTCCCAACTTTATTGCCATTTATGTGCTTCATTGCTTTTGTTTTGAATTATTTATTTGTATTATTTCCCTAAAGTAATAGCCATATGCTGTGATAAGCAACATTATCAAGACCTGCTCTACTAAAGAAACGCCTTTCAATTCATCAGTCATCTACCAGACATCATCACCAAAGTGCAAAACTCTGCTTGACTAATAGAGTCTATTATGTTGTTGACGGCTTTTATGGCAGGAATCAGCTGTAGCAGAGCATCTGATGAACCAACCTGGACATAGCATATTATTTGAGAACACAAAAATGCCGGACCACTCTAATAACCACCATGTCAGACTACACAGAGAAGCCACTGAAATCCACAAGCATGTGGACAATTTCAATGGAAAAGAAAAAACCATGAAAATGAACAAAATCTGGCTACCAATATTTTTAAAAACCCTCTAAAAGAGCAACACTAACCCCCCTCCCCCAAAACAGGGGAATTTCTGACATGAAACAATCAGGGCCAGCTAACACCCCCAACAAAGGATTTCCCCAGGCTAGAATCAGCCAGGCTTTGAAGCTTTAAGGCCATTCAGTGCTAATCAAGGTGGCCAATTGCAACATTCACACTTGCCTCAAACAAACAAGAGTTCAAACAAACAAGAGTTCTTTCTCCCACCCTGGACACTCCACAGATAGATAGATAGATAGATAGATAGATAGATAGATAGATAGATAGATAGATAGATAGATCCCAACTGACTAGTTTCCAACAGACCTCACAACCTCTGAGGATGCTTGCCATAGATGTAGGTGAAATGTTAGGAGAGAATGCTTTTGGAACATGGCCATATAGCCCAGAAAACACATAGCAACCCAGGACCTTCCACACAGCCATAGGATCTTGTCCTAAGGACCTCATCACTGGAGCGTGGATCCACTTTAAATCCAATTTCTATCTCTTTCAGAATTCTGGTGCTTGTAGTTTAGGGAGGAGTTTTTAAACTGCTCAGCCAGTCAAGTCCTGGGCCTCTCTAAACTACAAATCCTAGAATTCTGCAGGAGGCAGTAACATGATTTAAAGTGAATCCATTCTTTGATGTGATGAGGCTGTGTTGTGAACAGATGCATGTCTTCCCATTACCCACAAATATCACATACAGTGGCATAGCCAATAAATCCATGAGTTAATAATAGATCTTCATATAGAAAAAATATTTGTGGAACTCATTCCTGCTAGATTTGATGATGCTCAGTTGACTTAAAAAGGGAGGACAGAAAGAAGGCTATAAGAAATGATTAGGCACAATGTGTACAGATGATTTACGGTATCAGAGCAAACAGGCCTCACAACAAAGTAATTAGAAATATTGTGGGATTGTAAATCCTATTAGTCTAAAGTGAACATGGCCAGTGTAGAGAAAAGATGGAAGTTGCTGGTCCCTCAGTTACATGCTGATGAACAATAGTGAGTCTACTCTATTTTTGTTCTCCAAGGACTTAGGGTGCGTCCACACTGTAGATTGAATGCAGTTTGGCACTGCTTTAACTGCCATGGTTCAATGCTACGGAATCTTGGGAGTTGTTAGGTTCCTGAGGCGCCAGCCCGCTTTGGCAGGGAAGGCTCAAGACCTTTTAAAACTATAACTTCCAGAATTCCATAGCACTGAGTCAGGACAGTTAAAGTGGTGTCAGATTGCATTAATTCAACAGTATGCACTCAATGCCAAAGTGGACATTATGAACTAGTAAAAGTACAACTTTTTAAACTCGATCCCACAAGGCTCTTAGGTCCTTCTGTATCTCTGGACCTTACCCAGGATGCACATAAAATAATTTCATGAACAGTATTTCTGTATTGTGTACACAAGCTACACTTTGATGTGGATTAATGTATATGCAATAAATAATTCAAATGACTCTAAATCAGGCAAGGCAACTGGTGGCACTCTAGATGCCGTTGTTACAGCATCCACCAGCCCTAGTAAATATAGCCAGTGCTGAAGAATGATGGGATCTAAAGTCCAGGAACATGTAGAGTTTCAGACCCACGTTCAAAACGTTTAATTTACAAAAGCATGAGTGAAATCAGTGGGAGTTATTTCTGAGTAGATATCTTCACAATGGAAATACTGTGCTAACTCTTGCTATACAGAAACTGTCAGACTGGACATTTGGTAGATTGAAACTTACTCTAGACAAGAGTTTCTCAGCCTGGGGGTCAGAACCCCTGGTGGGGGGTGTCGTGAGGGGGTGTCAGAGGGGTCGCCAAAGAACATCAGAAAACAGTATTTTCTGTTGGTCATGGGGGTTCTGTGTGGCAAGTTTGGCCGAATTCTATCGCTGGTGGGGTTCAGAATTCTCTTTGATTATAGGTAAACTATAAATCCCAACAACCACAACTCCCAAATGTCAAGGTCTATTTTCCCCAAACTCCACCAGTGTTCATCATATTGAGTATTTGTGCCAAAATTGGTCCACATCTATCATTGTTTGAGTCCACAGTGCTCTCTGGCTCTAGGTGAACTACAACTCCCAAACTCAAGGTCAATGCCCAACAAACCCTTCCAGTATTTTCTGTTGATCATGAGTGTTCTGTGTGCCAAGATTGGTTCAGTTACATCGTTGGTGGAGTTCAGAATGCTTTTTGATTGTTGGTAAACTATAAATCCCAGCAACTACAACTCCCAAATGACAAAATCACACCCCCAACCTCACCAGTATTCAAATTTGGGCGTATGGAGTATTTGTGCCAAATTTGGTCCAGTGAATGAAAATATATTCCGAATATCAGATTAGTTACGTTACAATTCATAACAGTAGCACAATTATGAAGTAGCAACGAAAATAATTTTCTGGTTGGGGGTCACCACAACATGAGGATCTGAATGAAGGGGTCGTGGCATTGGGAAGGTTGAGAAACACAGTTCTTGATTAAAAATTGAAACTATAAAATAAAAAAGAACCACAATACATTCTTCTAAGTCAAAAATGGTAACAGTGCCACCTAATGGACTGCTATTTATATAACTTTAGCTCTAACTTAAAAAGCCAACAATTTCTCCAATGAAACCAGTCCTTTACTGAAACCCAAAATTCACAATACCCTTTTTGGGCCAACTGTTAAGGACAAAATGCATCATGTACACTTTTGAAGTTTCATTGGTTTCTTCATCAAGGAAAGATGTTAAAAATCATACAGAAGAAAAAAAGGTGACAATGTTAAGAATGATATGGCTTACACGTTCTACCTGAGTTATTTTCAGGTAAGACTTTATTGATGGATTTCAGTGCAGCCAAAGGCAAGTCCAAGTATTGCCCATATGAAGACTAAGGACAAAGAGCAACAAAAGCCAGGTAATGAAATTTCAATTCCATTAGCAACAGAAAAATAACTTTTACTGAGATCCAGATGTCCCTACCGCTGTAACACTGCGGTGAGCTGGGGCATCAATATTGCATGTATTTTCTGCAGTCGTTCCAGTAAACACCAATTTGTGCTAGATGTACAAAGTGTGTGTGAATACATGGGATCTCTGAATGGTCAGGACAGAACTCTGCTAAATCTCACATACACATGTTCTGTTTAACAACACAAGAGATTTCCCAAGGTCTATATAATTTCAAAGTTCCCTATGATAATGCCAGTTAAAGGGATTAGGTGGCATACCTACGTGCAACTATTTTTTTAAACTGTGAAAACAACTCGCTAGGATTATCTAGGTCCTCCAGCGTGACTTTATGGCAAGTTCAACTGGAAGACCTAGTGATTTCGAGAGCGACCAATGAAATCCACAAATAATCCAATTTGCAAGTGTCTAATGTGGAGGGATGATTGTAAAATGAAAGTTTTTTTGAATTCCCCTTTTCACAGGTTATAAATTTATTTTGATCATGCCCTTTGACTATAAGAAATATACAGGGGGTCCAGTAGGTTTGTCTTAAATTGAATTTGAATGTAAATTGGAATAGGTACATTTTAAGTGTAACTTGGGCCTTATATATATGTGTGTGTGTGTGTTTATGATTATATATAGCTTTGGATAGCTTAGGGAAGAGTTAACACCTTGAGACGTTCGTTTTATTGCCTGTGCCCCTGTTCAGAAGATTTTGCCTCACTTTCTGTTGGTGAGAATTGGATTTTGAGAAATTGGGGCTTGTGGAAACAAGGACTGGTGAGAAAGCTTCAGTGGAGACACATTTCCCCCATGATAACTCTTTTAGGAGTCCCACCCCTGTTCTTAACTATGAATCGCATGTAAATTGAATGGTTTTAACACAGAGACTGCCTGTAGTGCTTCCAAGGAGATGCAAAGTTTATTTTCTTCCCGGAATGAACAGGACAATGGGCACACTCTAAGCCAGTTGTTTTGGCCTTCAACTCCCAGAAATCCTAACCACTGGAAAACTGGCTGGGATTTCTGGGAGTTGTAGTGGTGATGCTTGGGTTAAGGCTGATGGATGTTGCAGTAAAATATAATAGGAGGGCTACATATTTTTCTCCTGTTACATAGGGCTGCAGCCTTAACATACAAATAATTTCAGTACTTGATAGTATATAGATTTAAGATTATTCTGAAGAGATTTTTTTTCTATGTAATTACTCTCACCTTTTACGGTTCCCTTGTTACCTGTTATCTTCACCCCAGGCTCCCAGCTAAACATGATACTCATTTTATCCAAAATACGTGGGAGCAAAAGTGTTTTGGGTTATTTTCCCCCCGGATACTGAAGTACCTGCATTTGTATACTATACATACAGCATGAGTTATGTTTCAGCATGTCCCTGGCCCCACTGGACGTAAATATTTAATTTTTTAATTAATATTTTCAAAAACCCGCGGAACAGCGGATCTACTAAAAGCGAACCGCAAAGTAGCAAGGGAACACTGTACATGTTTTATTGCTGAGTTGACTACTGAAAGGTTGCAGGTTTGAATCCAGGGAGCAGGGTGAGCTCCCGCTGTTAGGCCCAGCTTCTGACAACCTTTGATGTTGTTGTTCATTTGCTTCTGACTCTTTGTGGCCTCATAGACCAGCCCATGCCAGAGCTCCCTGTCAGCCGTCACCACCCCCAACTCCTTCAAGGTCAAGCCAGTCACTTCAAGGATGCCATCCATCCATCTTGACCTTGGTCGGCCCCTTTCTTTTCCCTTCCATTTTCCTCAGCATCATTGTCTTCTCTAAGCTTTCCTGTCTTCTCATTATGTGGCCAAAATACTTCATCTTTGCCTCTACTATCCTTCCCTCCAATGAGCAGTCAGACTTTATTTCCTGAAGTATGAACTGGTTGGATCTTCTGGCGGTCCAAGGCACTCTCTGAACTTTCCTCCAACACCACAGTTCAAAAGCATCTATCTTCCTTCGCTCAGCCTTCCGTATGGTCCAGCTCTCACATCCGTAGGGGGCTATKGSGAATACTATTGCTTTAACTATGCGGATCTTCATTGCCAGTGTAATGACTCTACTCCTCACTAATTGCTCTCCTTCCAAGAAGTAAATGTCTTCTGATTTCCTGGCTGCAGTCTGCGTCTGCAGTAATCTTTGCACCTAGAAATATGCAGTCTGTCACTGCCTCCATCCCTCTATTTCCCAGTTGTCAATCATTCTTGTTGCCATAATCTTTGTTTTTTTTTATGTTTAACTGCAACCCAGCTTTTGCACTTTCTTCTTTCACCTTGATTAGAAGACTCTTCAGCACCTCCTCACTTTTGGCCATCAAAGTGGTATCATCTGCATATCTCTTCAATCAATGGCTGATATAAAATGAGAGACTTCCCCCTGGGCACACAAAAAACTGGGCGACTTGGAAGGCGCTGAACAGACTGTGCTCTGGCACCACGAGATGCAGAGCCAACCTCAAGAAATGGGGCCACAAAGTGGAATCCACAACATGCGAGTGTGGAGAAGAGCAAACCACTGACGACCTGCTGCAATGCAACCTAAGCCCCGCCACGTGCACGATGGAGGAACTCCTTGTAGCAACACAAGAGGCACTCCAAGTGGCCAGATACTGAGGACATTTAATCAGCTACCAAGCTTGCAAACTCTGTTTTGTCTGTTTGTTTAAAAAAATGTTAAAAATGTAATACAATTGTCTGGTTGCTACTGACACGATAAATAAAAATCTGCATATGTAAGGTTGTTAATGTTTCTTCCAGCAACCTTTTACCCCAGCCTTGCATTCATCAACCTAGCAGTTTGAAAAACATGCAAATGTGAGTAGATCAATAGGTACTGCTTCTGCAGGAAGGAAACAGCGCTCCATGCAGTCACGCTGCCCACATGACCTTGAAGAAGTCTACGAACAATGCTGGCTCTTCGGCTTAGAAATGAAGATGAGCACCACCCCCAGAGTCAGGGGAAAACCTTTACCTTCACCTTGACTAACATTTAATTTCCTCTCATGCCTGTGATTCCATAATTTTGAGCTCAGACAGTTCAAGTGGTGCCAAATGCATTCATTCTGCGCCCCTATATTTCATGCATTAGATGCAACAGCTGGTAACAAACGAGTATGTCTTTTAGATGCAGTAAAACAAAACAAAAACAAACCTTTTGTACTTTTTAGTGCAATCAATGTAACCCGAGCGCCTTGACAGTGCTTTCCTTTGCAGGGAATTTTGAATTTCAGCGGGCTCAAACTACGCATGCGTGAAACCGTGACGTCAGGGGAGGCAGAAAACCTCCAAGGGGCTGCGGAGCCTATGACGTTGCTACTTCATTTCGGGTTCCCAATTAGAAACCACGGAGCGGGAATCCCAAGCCCTGACACGCTAGAGGTTCCAGACTCCAACTCCCAGAAGCCTCTGCCATAGCCACCAATGGCAGGGAATGCTAGGAGTGGTAGTTCGGGAAAGAAGCTGGCGGGCCAAAGCTTGAGAACCATTGCCGGCTGTAGAGATTCGCTCTAGACATGGCGGCGCTCAGACCGGAAGGGGATATGTGTGGTTGCGGGGGTAATCCCTCCTCGGGAAGAGAAACGAAACAAGTGTGCGGGCGCTGCGCATGCGCGTAGGCCACAAAGAAAAGCGCGCGTCCTCTGACGCGCAGGAAAAAAACCGGTTAGTGGCAGTTTGATCTCACTTTTATTTTCCGAGGGGGGGGGGAGAAGGAGGGAGGGGGTTGTAGCGCGCGCTCGGAATCTTCAGTTCGGATACAAAACCGTCTCAACGCCCTTTTCCCCCTCTCCTTCCTCATCAGCGCCTTTTGTGGCGGTTGGTTTCGCTTTCGGTATAGCTCTCTCTCCATAGAAAGGCCAGAGGAGAGGGCCAGGCTCCTTCTCCACTGCCATAGGATCCAGATTGTCTACTTTAAACTGGATTATTTGGCAGTGTAGACTCTGGCCTCTTCTATGAGGCAATATAAAATCCAGATTATCTGCTTTGAACTGGATTATCTAGCAGTGAGAAGTCAGGCTTATTCATCACTGCAACATAAAATCCAGACCTGTTGTGAACTGGATTATCTGGCAATGTAGACTCTGGCCTCTTCTATGAGGCAATATAAAATCCAGATTATGTCCTTGAACTGGATTATCTAGCAGTATAGACTGGCTTCTTCACTGCAACATAAAATCCAGACCTGTTTTGAACTGTCTTATCTGGCAGTGTAGACTCTGGCCTCTTCTATGAGGCAACATAAAATCCAGACTATCTGCTTTGAACTGGATTATTTGACAGTGTGAATTTAGGCTTATTCATCACTGCAACATAAAATCCAGACCTGTTGTGAACTGGATTATCTGGCAGTGTAGACTCTGGCCTCTTCTAAAATGCAATATAAAATCCAGATTACCAGCTTTGAACTGGATTATCTAGCAGTGTAAACTCAGGCTTCTTCACTGCAACATAAAATCCAGACCTGTTTTGAACTGGATTATCTGGCAGTGTAGACTGGCCTCTTCTAAGGTGCAATATAAAATCCAGATTATGTGCTTTGAACCGTATTATCTGGCAGTGTAGATTCAAGCCTCTCCTACACTGCAACATAAAATCCAGATTTCTTTTGAACAGGATTATCTGGCAGTGTAGATTCAGGCCTCTTCTACACTGCAATATAAAATCCAGATTATCTGCTTTGAACTGGGTTATCTGGCAAAGTAGACACAGACCTCTTCTACACTGCAACATAAAATCCAGATCTGCTTTGAACTGGATTATCCAGCAGTGTAGACTCAGGTCTCTTCTATGCTGCCACATAAAATCCAGACCTGTTTTGAACTGGATTATCTTCACTACAAATTAAAATCCAGATCCCTCTTGAACGGGGTTATCTGGCAGTGTAGAATCAGGCCTCTCTTACACGGCAACATAAAATCCAGATTTCATTTGAACAGGATTATCTAGTATAAATTCAGCCCTCTTCTACACTACAATATAAAATCCAGATTATCTGCTTTGAACTGGATCATCTGGCAGTTTAGACACAGACCTCTTCTACACTGCAATATAAAATCCAGATCTGCTTTGGATTATCTGGCAGTGTAGACTCAGGCCTCTTCTACACTGCAACATAAAATCCAGATTACTTGCTTTGAACTGGGTTATCCGGTAGTGTAGAATCGAGCCTTCAACAAAATCAAAGCAGATAGTCTAGGATTATGTGACAATGTAGTAGGGGTGTCAAGTGCCTTCTACACATCTGTACAAAATCCAGATTATCTGCTAGTTTAGCCTATCTGGGTAAAAATATCCAGAGATTGGAAACAGCCACTAAAAAGGCCCACTCGTTGTTTCACGTAGCTGCTTTCTGAGAGTGGTAGAGTGGAGAAAATTGTGTCTACAGATCTTAAAACTTTGGCGGGATCATATGGGAGATTATGGACTTTCAGGACCCTTCCGCACAGTCCTACATTCCAAAATATCAAGGCAGAAAATCCCACAATATCTGCTTTGAATTGGGTTTATTTATTTATTTATTTATTTACGGCATTTATATGCCGCCCTTCTCACCCCGAAGGGGACTCGGAGCGGCTTACAATATATATTTTCATACAATATTATATTATTAGCATAGTACAATATCAGTATATATTACTATATTGCACTATACCGTTATATTGGAATATTATTAGTAATATTACATGTAATGTAAATATATAATTATAATTATAATATTGAACTATTACTAGTATTATATTGTATTACATTATAATATTATAAATATTATATGTATATACAATATACTATGTACTGAGTCTAAACTGCCATATATCCCAGTTCAAAGCAGAAAATGTGGGATTTTATTCAGATGTGTAGAAGGGGTCTATTTATCATATTGAAATTGTTAGGATGTTATATTGCCACATTTATTGCTAGCTGACTTGAATTTCTACTTTGGGAGAAAGGCGGGATAAAAATAAAGGAAATATATAAAATAAATGTATAAGATTTAAAAAGGCCCCAAGATGCAAGTGTTTTGATTTTGATCTGATTAATTCATTAATAGTTATGGCAAAAAGGAAAGAGGGAAGCTTTTCAACACCAACATCCAGCAAAAGACCAAGACAAGAATTCATAGAGGATTCTGATGATGATTTTAATGAAGAAACATGGTCAAACCTGCAGAATGACAGCAGTGCTAACTCACAGGTGGTAAGTGACTCGTATAATTGCTGCAGTCATGTTTTACAATTATTCTAGAAAGAAAAATGAAATGAATGATGATTATATATGCAAAGAGAGGGAATACTGGTGATAGCAAGTCAAGTTCAACAGATGAGCAGATAGGCAAGTTGTCTCTGCACGATTAAAAGTGCATCTTCCCCATGTATTTAATTTATTGATCTTTAACAAAAGTTAAAACAAGGGCACAGCCAAGATTATTAAGTGCCAGGATCATCAAGCATCAGGACTTGAATCCTTGCAGAGTAATCCTGTAAAATAGAAGGAGAATTGTTGTAGGCTGTGACTGATGGGAGTTGCAAAGCAGCAACTAGAGGGCAACCCTTGCTATATTAATTTATTCTTTCTCCTGAACTGTGGTTTTGAAGCCTGGAGGACCTGCTCCCAGAAACCCAGACAAAACTAATTTCTGAAAAGGAAATAAAACTAATATGTAGTTCTGCAACGGCTATTTGTGTAAACCTAGGTTGTGTCAAAATTGGTTTATAAACCAAGATTTTTCATCAGAGGCTACATTGTGTAATGATAATAAAACTATACTGCTGACAGATGATAATGAAATTGTACAGGGTGTTTAAAAATGGTGGATCCAACTTCCAAGCAGTATGTTTCATGACGGCAACATGTTACAATTACAGAAAATGTTATAGACAGTTTAAAGAATTACCTGGTTTTACTAACCAAATCTTAAAAATAACCCCACAATGGAGGAACTTCCTGTGGGATAACTGTTGGAAGGTGACTATAGAATCACTCTAGAGGTCTAGAAAGAACACTTTACTAGGTACTGCTTGGCCGTCCAATGTGATACTATGGAATTCTATTTTTTAGATTTTCAGGTAGTCATGCAGGCTTTTCTGTTAATAAAAAAATATTGCAGCCGCCTACAAGTTTGTTTTTGATGTGCATTTATCACCTAGTGCACATTGCGACAAAACCTGGCATTTCTAATGTGTATACAAAAGTTAAGTGATCACCTTTTCAATATGTAAACATGTAACTGCTATCTTTTTTGTAATATATTTGTAGACATCAGGAGATGTTGGAATAATTGAGAGTATCAAGCTAAAGAACTTTATGTGCCATTCCATGCTGGGCCCCTTTGAGTTTGGATCCAATGTCAATTTTATAGTTGGAAACAATGGAAGTAAGTTTTCATTCTTTATAAACAAGAGCATAGTATTGACCTTATATCCATTCCTTAATGCATTTAGCCACTTTTATGTGGACCAGTACAAGAAAGTATATGAAGTAGAACATGTTGGGCGAGTGGGCTTATTAACAAAAGACTCTCCTCATAAATGTCTAGTGGAGTAACTTATTAGCAGCAGCATGACCCAGCATCAGTAGCTCAAAAATGATAAAAAGAACAAAAACACACAGACCAATGTTATCTTTTCCATAGGAGGCTTTTCTTTGTACCAAAATAATATGGTTGCACTATTTAGAAGAACAAGGTTTCCATAACACAAATAAAGTTCTTTATACTTCCTTCTTTGCTTCCACGCTGGGCTTTTTTCTTATGCAGATAAACAACTTCGGTCTCACAGAGCCTTCTCTCATACCGAAGTTACATAGGAACTTCACACAGTAGCTTTATGTACACAGCAGCCTTCACACATGATGGCCTTCAAGCTGGGGCTTCTCTCATTGAAGCTCCTCACACCAGGCCTTCCTCATATTGAGACCTACTAACACTGAGGCCTTCTCACACTGAGAGCTCTCTCAGACTGAGGCCTTTTCCCCACTGAGGCCTACTAAGCTACAGGCACACATGCTTTTATAGAACAGCAGCTTTTGCTGAGGCATTGCATCATTTAACCCTTTCAGTGCTTGACTCACATTTTTGTAATTAGAAATAACTAGTTAATGTTTAATATTTCTGACAGAAAAAATTACCCCCAATGCAGCCAAATGACCAGTAGCAGCATCCAGAAGTTTAGATGGGAATATGGTACTGGTCATTCACTAGATGAAGCAAAATAACATTTGCACCGACATTTTGTAAGGGTAGATAGTAGGGCTGGGCGGTTTCGTTCGTTAATTTTGTATATCGTTTTTTTTCCGTTAATTTCCCATATACGAAACGATATCAAACTTTTTTCCAAACCCGGAAGTGTATTTTCAAAATCGAAACAGCATGCGCCAAATATTTTTGTATTTCCGTCCATTTCGGAAATACGTAAGATGGCTAGATGCTTGCTGGGAGCTCTCCTCTCTCTCCTCTCCTTAGCCAGTCAGAGCCTGAAAGAGGAGGAGGAGGAGGAGAGGGCGGGGAAGGCGCCGGCTGAGCAAGCGAGCGAGAGGGCGAGCGGCCCTCAGTGGGAAGGCGGCCCCGTCCCTCCTTCCTCACCTTTGCGGTGGGTGTGCTTCGGAGGAGCCGGGCCCGACTCGGCGGCAGCGCTTGAGGGCCCGCCAGAGTGAGTGCCTGCCTTCCCTCCTTTCCCTTCCTCTTTTCTTTCTTCTCCTTTCCCTCCTCTTGGTGGAGAGAGAAAGAGAGAGAGAGAGAGCCCGCAGGACTCAGGAGGGTGGGACGGAGCTGGGAGCAGCGGGGAGGCTCAGTCTGTTTGCCCTGTGGCTCTTTTTGGCAAGCATTTTCTGCCAAATATTTTTTTTATTATTAAAAAAATTAATAATTAAATTAAAAAAATATTGAAAAAATATTGAAAAAAAATTCGTTGATGCTTTATGCTTTGCTGATGCGCAACCGCGGGCGCCATCTTTACAAAACGTTTTGTAAATATTAACGAAATTTCGTAAATACCAAACTTTTTTTTATGGAAAATTTCGGATATATTTTTAAATACAAAACGCTGAGGCACCCTAAAAACGAAACGATATTAGAAACAAATTTTTCCGTTGTTACCCAGGCCTAGTAGATAGGTAGACAAAAATGGGTTCTTCAGGATACTGAAGGGTTCTAGTGCACCCACTCCAGTTCTTGACAAATACCCACCCCCTGCTCAAAGCCTTATTCAGAAGTACCTCAGGTTTGTGCAGGTGCTTGTTATTTTGTTCTTATTTCTTCTGTATACAGTTGACAAGGTTGCTGCTGAATAATCTCAACTGCTTACTCCTTGATGGTGTATCAACAGATCAGGGATACAGAAAAATAGATAACTATACTTTCCCCGCGTGGCTAGCCTGTGAATCACACATGTGGTAATTCCTGCACGCGCGCAGGCAGCAACGGACATTCACGAGCTAACTCCCAACTGACCGTTAGAGCAGCCCCGCCCTTTTCTCCTCACTCTATACATCTCAGATGTCCACTAGCCTATGTGTCTTTGACTTAAGGAAAATATTCCTGTCTTTTAGTGAGAAAGATTTCAAAGATTTAAGGACATAGCCTTTAATTAAATCTGGACAATTGAGAAAGGAAAGGTAGAGCTCTAAATTGAAAACAAACAAACATTAATTGTGGAAACAAAAATATAAGCTCGAAATCTGAGAAAAATGTTGCAGGAGCACCAACAACTCAGCAGCCTCACAGTGCCATTTTGAGAAATGCATTTATAATGAAATGGGACAGGCTGTTTGGGAGCAGCCCTCAGATTGAGCATGCTAACTGTCTCCAGGGCTAGAGCCGAATGCCTCAAACTGTAAACATGCAGGCAGTACAGCAATATTTACAGTGAGCATATAACACCAGAGTTTATCCGCTGTTTAAAGACCATGTTTCAAAATGCCTTAACACCAGTGAGACAAATATTATTTACTTATTTATTTATTTACGACATTTATATGCCGCCCTTCTTACCCCAAAGGGTACTCAGAGCGGCTTACAAGATACATACAATATATTATATTATTAGCATAGTACAATATCAGTATTATATATTACGATAGTGTACTATACCATTATATTGTAATATTATTAGTAATATTACATGTAATACAAAATATATAATTATATTATTAGTAGTAATATATTATATTATATTATATTATAATATTATTATATTATATTATATTATATTATTAGCATAGCACAGGAGACAAGGTGGAACTGTCTTCTGGCCCCCTCTCTCTTCACTCTGGCCCAGAGCAGCAGTTGATGCTGGGGAGAAGGGTCCCCAACTGATGACATATGCAGGAGACAAGATGGAACTGTCCCCTGGACCCTTCTGTCTTCACTCTGGCCCAGAGCAGCAGTTGGTGCTGGGGAGAAGGGTCCCCAACTGATGACATATGTAGGAGACAAGATGGAACTGTCCCCTGGACCCTTCTGTCTTCACTCTGGCCCAGAGCAGCAGCTGGTGCTGGGGAGAAGGGTCCCCAACTGATGACATATGTAGGAGACAAGATGGAACTGTCCCCTGGACCCTTCTGTCTTCACTCTGGCCCAGAGCAGCAGTTGATGCTGGGGAGAAGGGTCCCCAACTGATGACATATGCAGGAGACAAGATGGAACTGTCCCCTGCCCCCGCTCCTCCTTCACTCTGGCCCAGAGCGCAGTTGGTGCTGGGGAGAGGGTCCTCCAACTGATGACATATGCAGGAGACAAGATGGAACTGGCCCCCTCTCTCTTCATTCTGGCCCAGAGCAGCAGTTGGTGCTGGGGAGAGGGGTCCCCAACTGATGAAATATGCAGGAGACAAGATGGAACTGCCATATGTAAGGCAGTCAAGAAAGGAGCACAGTTTCAAGGAACATCATTTTAGAAGAGCAGATCAGCACAATGAAATGAATTTAAATCCTGGTATTTCTAAAACGAATTTGAGAACAGAGAATGAACCATTTGATTTGCAAAAACTTATTAGGAAAATTACAACAAATGAAATAAAATTAATATTTTCTAACAATGCTCCACTGGAAATGTAATTATATCAATTGTAACTAAGTGGAAAGCCAATTAAATTATAATGCAATGCATTCTGAGAGTACAAATTGGAAACATGATGAATTTGAAGAAAATATAGGAAAAGTAACAATGTAATACAACAGCTGAGAACAAAAGACATTGATATCGCTATCAATGAATGACAGGAAAATAAATCATCTAGGAAAAGGAAGATTAACATAGAAGCAGATTTTAGTGAAAACAAGGAAAGGAAATACAGTAGGAAAATATACATTAATTAGAAGTGAATGTATCATTCCAGTCTAAATAATTTAAAAGTATTTTAAAGAGAATGTTACAAATGAGGTTTTGTGAGTCCAGAAGAATATAAGTGGTCCAAACATATTGGACAATTGTTTTTTCTTTCTAATGCACACCTTCAAAATTGATGTCCGCATTACATGGTGCATTACACTTGAGTAAATATGGGTAGTTTAGGTTAGTTTATTTTAGTTTAGTTGGTTAAGGCTTGATGATAAAAATGTTGGAAAAGTGAAAGGGGGCTTAAAAGCTCAACTGAAAAAGGATGTTAACTTTTGCCAGTCCAATTGGCACATGAGATTAAACTCAATTGCATTGGATTGTGTCTCCTGCCATCTCAAAAGGAACTGTCACGGTAAATAGTATTTATCTGGTGTGTGTACAGTGGGATGGTGATTCCTTCCAAAATTTCAACTCCAGCACTTTCTGAATGAGGGTTTACACAGATATTGAAACTTGTATGTGTAGATGCACTTGAAGAATCACAAAAAAGGAGAGATTGTTTTTATTCTTCAGACTATGATGTCGTTTACCTATAGTTAAACTACCTGCATAAAAATACAGAATTTTGGCATATCTGATGCCTTTCCTTTGAAAGAAGGATTGAAGAACCAAACAAAATTTGTTATTATTTTGGCATTGCATGTTTGCTGTTGTGCTTATTTTGCTGGAAACAAAACAGGGAGATAGGGCAGGTTATAAATAAAGTATTATTATTATTATTATTATTATTATTAAATTCTAGTTATAGGTATTTGTAAAAACTGCCTATGTGATGCCCCATGGGAAAATGTATTAGTTTTAGATTTATTTGGTATGACAAAATTGCAAGCAATATGTCTTTGTAAGAAGCTTAAACAAGTCAAATAGAAGATGTCCAATTAACTTAAAAATAGTTACAGAATATTAAAATTTTGTTCACTTTCTTAGGTGGGAAAAGTGCTGTGCTCACTGCCCTTATTGTTGGCCTTGGAGGAAAAGCAACAGTGACTAACCGAGGCTCATCTGTAAAAGGATTTGTGAAAGATGGTCAGAGGTAAAGAAATGTCCTGCACTGGAACTGACTGGAGAAGGATAAGAACATATACTAGGGAAGGAACTTTTTGCCAAAGATGCAAAATCATTTTAATTCTTTTTGAGGTCACTGTGCTGGGGGAAAAACATAATGAGTTATTTATAGTCATGTGCATTTGGGCCAAAAGCCATACCGTTATTGGGTCCATTTTGTCTCATTATGTTTACCAGAAAGTCAACAGCAAGGGGAGGTGTGCTTTCCATTTCATTTGGCAGAGATTTGGCCCATTGGCTACAATGGGAAATTTTAAAGACTCAATCCTAAGTCATTTTAAGACCTATCTGCATGAAACTTACCTCAGTTGTAGACCCCATTTACAACTGTAGGCCTGTGAGGTTTCAAAACAATTCACCAATTTACAGATTTTTTAAAGAGTTATTGTATTAAAAGGTGAAAGATTTATACGATCTGAAGAGAAACCAGAGGGTTTTTTTTTGTTTTTCTTTCTCTCCCACTCTTCTTGCTCGTTCATGTTCTTTTCCTTTCTCCCACTATACCACTATAATGTGTTCCTTCACTTTCATTGTAAACCTTACTTTAACACAATAAAAAACTATTTGGAAAAAAAGAATTATTTTAAGTTTTAAACATAACTTTTTTTAAAAAAAAAAAAAGACAAACTACAAGAGAGGGAGTTGTAGTCGCCAGTTGTGTCCATTCTCAGCCAATCAGAGCATGGACATCTCCAGGCTTTTTATTATCTGAGAAACACACAGAGAGAAAAAACTTCAACTCCCATCATGCTCTGAGAGAAACTTTCAATGGCTACCCTATGCTAGTGCCACTGGGAAAGCGAGTTCTAAGGGCCCCCTCTGGAGAAGGAGGTAACTTTCCAAGAAAAAATGGAGGAGGTTTCTTCTACCAGGGAGAGAAAAAGATGCCACAGATCCCCCTGCTCAGGTATTTTTTGAAAAAGTTAAGTCCACAAAATATCCACTCCCTGCACCAGCCACTCATTGATTTTGATCTAGAAATGAAGAAACACTCTTTTGCCACAATTGAAGTTATATATTCAGCAGCTGTAGGGAAAATGTAGCTTCAAGTTAGCTGAGTGTGCCAGTGTGGATTGCCAAATCCCAGAAGTTGCCTAAATCTGCTTATGAAATGTAACGTCTTTCCCCTCCTTTGTAATCTGCCAGTTTAGCTTAATATTTAGCCTGTCTATGTCTTTTGTTTTCTAAAGCAAGGCTGTGGAATGTTGAATCAGGTGTGTTGAATTGCAGCTTTTGTCATTTCTCACCACTGGTTGTGCTGGCTAGGCTGTTGGAAATTGGGTATTGCATCCCAGAAACACTGAGGAACACATATATCCCAGCCCCATTCTTAGGTCTTGTAAAAGGATACAGTTTGTCAATTTTGCAAGTATAATGGAAGTTATGCTCCCCACCCTCAACTTTGGCAGGGTTTTCATGAGGAAACCAGGGACTTCATTTCCCCTGATTATTCAGATTTAGATTGCAATCTTATACCTACTTACCTGGGACTGAGTTAATCTTACTTTTGGATGTATGAGTGGGAGTGTCTTCTGGAGAGAGACCATGGTGTTGGGTAGAATCTGTTTCCCCTTCTGTGTATTTCAGTGACCTCCCTTCAAAAGTTAGACTTCTCAACACAGGCTTTATACAAGGGTAGAACATGTTTGTGTGAACTTCTGTTTGATAATTCATTGTGTATTCTAGTTCTGCAGACATTACAATCATTCTTCGAAACAGAGGTGAAGATGCATATAGACCAGAACAGTATGGCAATTCCATCACTGTAAAGCAACACATATCCTTGGAGGGGAATCGGACTTACAAACTGCAAAGCAGTACAGGTTTGGTGATGCTTTACTTTCATTTTAAAAGTACTGAAGGTTGTTCTTCCCAGTAATTTTTTCCTGTGTTTTTCAATATAACTGTTACACAGTATACCAGTGGATGTCGTAATGTCCTCTAGATGCCACTGTACTGCAGATACCATAAGTTATGGTCAGCATAGGCCATTATGTGGAATGTTGTCAGTTGTACTCTAATAAGACGTAGAGTGGTCTGTGAACCATTCCCTGCTGCATACCTTTTCTCATGGGTATGACTGTTCTGGCCGCCGGAGTAGGGAGATGACAGTGCAGTCCAATTATTCTTAGGATGTACAATTTCTGAAAATATTGAAGTTATAAGAAAAAAACCCCTTTGTCCCATTTTTGAAAGATAAATAGATTTTTTTAAAAAATGAGAAAAATAACATAGTAACTTTCATATGAAGAATTTTTGCTCATTTTTTAAAATGAGAAATCAGAAGATGTTTACTTCTTGGGAGAAGAGCAATTACCAATTTCGATAAAATAGTAAAGAATGAAGACCTTACACTGGCAATGAAGATCCGCATAGTTAAAGCAATGGCATTCCCCACAGTAACCTATGGATGTGAGAGCTGGGCCATAAGGAAGGCTGAGCCAAGGAAGACAGACACTTTTGGACTGTGGTGTTGGAAGAAAATTCTGAGAGTGCCTTGGACAGCAAAAAGATCAAACCAGTCCCTACTCCAGGAAATAATGTCCGACTGCTCAGTGGAGGGAAGGATATTAGAGGCACAGATGAAGTACTTTGGCCACATAACGAGAAGACAGGAAAACCTGGAGAAATAATGATCCTGGGGGAAATGGAAGGAAAAAGGAAGAGGGGCCGACAAAGGACAAGAGGGATGGATGTTATCCTTGAAGTGACTGGTTTGACCTTGAAGGAGCTGGGGATGGTGACGACTGACAGGGAGCTTTGGCGTAGGCTGGTCCATGAGACCACGAAGAGTAAAAAGCGACTGAAAGAATAAACAACAAAGCTTTTGTAAGATTTTACAGTTTTGCTTGGTGTAAAAGTGTAATTTTTGTGTATTAAAATACGGAGTTCAGTCATACTGTGGTTCCAAATAGAATACCCTTTTTAGGGATTTTTTTAAAAATAATGCAGCTACAAGGTCTAAAATATTAGGAACTTCCTTGGTTTTGATAATATAGTGGGAGTAGGAAAAACATAAAAAAATAAATAGTATCGGAATTATTGAGGAAAAGAAATAATTTGTCTTCTCTAGTCAAACATATTTATTGAAGGGACACAAAACATGCATTCCTGTAAAAGGAACCGAGAAAAGGGTGACAAGACCAGGAATTGTAATCTCCTCAGTATTAATTTCTTGGAGTTTTGTTCCCAGTACATTTTCAAATAGTTCCAAGAATAGAAATACATGCCTTTGGGAAATATATAAACAAATAAACAAAAGCAGTCTGCCCAGGGTGTGTTGAGATTTCCAGCATCTTTCTTTTTCCCCCCTTTCTTTTGCCCCTCCCTCCCCCCTCCCCCTTCCTGTGCTTTGTATCTGATTTTGTCATTTTCCTTTTGCTTTCCTTCACTTCTGCTTTCCTTATTTACATCGGACAGACCCCATCAGATGCTTTTCTTTACAGTCTTCCAACATTTCTTCCCACCTCTTGCTTCCTTCTCTACATCGACAAATTGCCAAGAGGCAACACAGACATCTGCTTCCAAAAGTCTAAATGTAGGAGATACAACTTGTCTGAATACACCCCCCCCCCCCACCCTGCCTTTATTCCCTCTTCTCCTATTCATAGTTCTTGGGTTTTCCTTCCCTGATTAGTTATGGATATTTCTTTAATGACAGGCAAATCTTTGATTATCCAAGCATGCAAACCTGTTTATCCCTTGCTTCTTGTTGGACTGTTTTGCCTTCAAAATTATCAGCACAGCTGAATTTAGTATTATGTTAAACTGCTACTTAGTTTAGCAGAATAGTGTTAATTGGGCAATATTATTTATCCTTCTAAGACTTCCTTGAAAATGCTATCCTTGGTGGGACTACCAGGGATGAAGATATCCAATTGATGCCTCTTTCATTGAATTTCACGAAGGAGACAATAGTAACAGTGACATCAATGGTTTTTAAACATTTTCCCCTCTCTGGACAAGGCGAGATCAAGGAAAGAGCTCACAAAGATCTGAGAACCACACCAAGCTCAGGGGACAGTGACAGTCAATGAGAGAGAGTGTGTTTGTGCGTGTATTGGGGGTGGGACACATGGAACAAACTACATCAACTCATCCTGCTACATGCACACTTTTAATTGCCTCTCAGCCAGCAAACCATACTTTTCCCCTCGTGACCACCTGTGATTTGCACCTATGGTAATTCCTTCGCTCGCGCAGGCATTACCATAGGTGCAAATCCACAGGTGGTCACTCGGAAAATCATGTTTGCAGGTAAGCAACCTACACTTCTGTTCTCACCTATCTTTGGACTTATTGGATAAAAAGAAATCTTAAAATCAAATATTTCAGCAATACCTGATGAGTCTCCTGCCCTTCATATTAATATGGGAGAGCGTGAGGACTACATTCACTTTTTTAAGAATGTAGACTGGAAAAAAAAAGATGCAATATACTGTGTGAAGAAAAAACATACTTTTTTTTGAGAAGACAAAGTAATGTGAAACACTGTAAGTACTTTTTTAAAAAGCTGGAAGACAAGATGCTTGTGTAGGACCTCACAAGTAAAAAGGTTGAAAGAAAGAGTGGTTTATTTTTGGGAAGCGGATTGTTTTGGCTGACAGTTGGGATAACAACAAAGGCTGTGTTGTCTCAACATTCCTTTGAAGGGGGCATCGAAAAGACAGATCTATTAACACGTGCCGAGATTATGATGAACAGAAGAATTTTAAAGATGTAGCCTTGGCAAGATACATTTGCAGGGATGCGGCAACACATCTTGGATAAATATGAAAAGATGAAAATGATTTTAAAAACTTTTGAGTAAAATTTAGTCTGGACAAGGAACATGAACTAAAAATTGTGTTTCAAAACCAGTGCCACCCCGAGTTTTGGCTGCATTTTCAAGATGAATTCAAAATCAAAGCGTTAAAGAGTGTGTTGTATAAAATGTAACAGTAATAACAAATGTATAACAAATGTAGCAATTGTGATAAATCAATAAAAATTATTATAAAAAAAATCAAAGCAAATGTGGAGCAAATGAAATTTGAAATTATTAATGTTAAATTAAATGATTTAAAAATCAATGAAAATAGAATGAGAGAAATGGAAGAAAGATGGACAAGGGTAAAGAACTATATTATGAATCATTCCAGAGATCAAGCCATAAGAAATAAGATACAAATGTTATATAGTATACAGGATGGAAATGTACAAAGATAAAGATATAATGATTGTCTCAAAAAGAAATGAATATGTAAAAGAAAACAATCCTTGTGTTGGTGGTAGGAATTGTAAATGTTTTGTGTGTGCATGGTATGTATCTTTTGTATTGTAAAAAAAATATTGTTTTTTTAAAAAAGAATTTAAAATCTTGTCTGAGAATGCAAAATTAATATTGCATTCTTTGACTACATATCTCTGTGAAGCAGGGTTCTCTGCCTATACAGGAACCAAAACAAAATACAGAAGCTGCTTAAATGCAGAACCAGACATTCACCTGCAGTTACCAACAATTGAACCTAGAAACAAGGAAACTGTAAAAAATATGCAGCCGTGTTTCATTAAACATTTATACAATATTTTATGCTATCTCTTAATTTAGGCCTACTGTTGCAGTACAGTGCACTTAGTTCTGTTGTAATGCAAATTGTGTGATTTATTGAACTTTGGAAGAATTTTGATGTATGGCCAAGTTTTGACAATATGTGTATTGTTGGTATGTGGTAAATACAATTTCATTGCATGAACATTGCACAGTTGTTTATATATCTCTTCACTTTAAATTCCCTTGCTATCTATCTCCTCTTCCTCCCCTGTAATACTACTCCTAAACACAATTAACTTGTAAAACATAGCATAGACTTAAGAGGCTCCGCCATAGAGATTGATTCTAAAAAGTGCTTCATGAATCAAAAAGGTTGGGAAAAACTGTTATAATAAATTTATTTTACATGAGAGTGGGGTTAAATACAATAGTTTAATAGAAATAGTTATACTTAAGGAACAAGATGTTATAGAGGTGGACAAATAGAATTAGAAGTATGTGGTGATTAGAAGAATGTGGCTAATACAGGGTTAGTCAAAATGAATAGGCCAATAAGAAAATTAATTTTAGACGAATGTATGTTTATTGTAACCAAACTACAGCTACGTAGCGACAGATAAACTATCAAAGTTTTGTCTCACCTTCAGAGATGTTCGATATGGGCGCCCCGTGTGACACGGCAGATGTCCAAGCGATAGTCCAGTTCATTCCACATCCGTTGCAGCACATCCGACGTAATGGCATCGAATGCAGCAACGTCTGGGAAGGTGTTCGTTGAGGTCCTAACCCTAACCCTAACCCTAACCCTAACCCTAACCCTAACCCTAACCCTAACCCTACCCTAACCCTAACCCTTGAAATTCTCGCTGGACCGTAATTACTGACATTGTTTTAGCAAATGTCATTACACAAAACGCCTTCTCTTTGCTTGATTCCGCCATTTTGAAAACAGCGACCCCTAGCGACGCCTAGCGGCATTAACGTACATGTGTGTTGCTCAAAAAAAACTTTGATAGTTTATCTGTCGCTACGTAGCTGTGGTTTGGTTACAGTAAACATACATTCGTCTAAAATTAATTTTCTTATTGGCCTATTCATTTTGACTAACCCTGTATTTCACATATATTATCAACAGACTTTCAATCTATAGGGATTTTCCCATTGAGGGCATAAAACGTTGTTTGGATTACTAATAATTGTATCATATGAAAGGAGGTAATTTATTGTTTAAATATTGATAGATGTAATAATTTGTTTTGCTTTAAATAACTGCTAAAGAGAAGATTGGAAATCTATTATTTAGCTTTCTCTCTCCCCCTCCCCCCTAAGTTGTATCTTTAACTCTTGTACTCTTATTCTCTTTTTTAAATATATTTTTGTAATTTTATTTTGTATATTTGAATTCTTCAGTAAAATCTTATAAAGAAAAGGCTATATTTGGCAACAGATCACTTGCAGACACTCAAACAACTTTTTCTTCATGGAGTATACTGTACGTTAAGGATATAATTTAACTGGAACCATTTAGTAATTTAAAAATGCTGACTCTTACTTATTCTTTCATATGTTTAGGTACCACCATTTCTTCAAAGAAAGAGGAACTTACTGCAATCCTGGATCATTTTAATATTCAGGTAATTTAATATAGTGTAACATCCTATTGGAGCCCCTGGTAGCACAGCAAGTTGAACTTGCTGACAAAAAGGTTGGCAGTTCAAATCCAGTGAGTGGAGTGAGCTCCCACTGTTAACCCCAGCTTCTGCCAACCTAGCAGTTTGAAAACATTCAAATGTGTGTAAATCAGTAGGTACCATTCTGAGATTGGGGAAGGGAAAAAAACAAAAGCAAAAGATTGAACTAAGATATATTAGATAAGTGAGTGGATAATATAGAATGGAGGAAGTGGGAGAAAATGCAAGAGGGTGGAGAAATATGGTTATAGATAAACGACGTATATGTATTAAATGGGAGCCCCCGGTGGAGCAGTAGGTTAAAGCACTGAGCTGCCGAGGTTGTTGACCAAAAGGTCGCAGGTTTGAAGCTGAGGAGCGGCGTGAGCTTCCGCTGTCAGGCCCAGCTTCTGCCAACCTAGCAGTTCAAAAACATGCAAATGTGAGTAGATCAATAGGTACCGCTCCAGCGGGAAGGTAACAGCGCTCCATACAATCATGCCAGCCACATGACCTTGGAGGTGTCTACGGACAATGCTGGCTCTTCGGTTTAGAAATGGAGATGAGCACCACACCCCAGTCAGACACGACTGGACTTCATGTCAGGGGAAAACCTTTACCTTACCTATGTATTAAATGTACAAAATCTACTTACAAAATGAAATATAACATTAATAAAAATATAAAAAAAATAGGTACAGCTTCAGTAATGGCACTCCATGCAATCATGCCGACCGCATGACCTTGAACGTGTCTACGAACAACTCTGGATCTTTGGCTTAGAAATAGAGATGAGCACTACCACCTAGAGTCAGACACGACTAGACTTTACCTTTAACATCCTATGCTATGTAGAAATAGAGGGGTGTTTTTTTTAGTAGTGTGTGGTTGTCTGCGGGCGCATCCAGACAGCCACTTTATTGCGGAAACTTCCACAATAAAAAGGAAGCTGTCCAGATGACATCCTGGATAAACATGAATTAATCTGCCACAAACCAGGCAAACCCTTGTTTGTGGCAAATTCATTTGATAGTGGGTTTATTCCATGCCTTCTAGGAAGGCTCAGGATAAATCCACTACTCCCAGTGTCTAGATTGCAGTCCAGACAGTCCAGGCAGTCCAAATTAGCCCGGGAAACTGTGCAAATACCACCCCCTTCCCCAAAGGACCCCAAAACCCCTTTAAAAAAGAAAAGTGCTTACCCGGCCTCCAAATGAGCCATAGGTATCTTGTCATATTTGTTTGCCTGAACTCCAAGATATTCAGTGAAGCACTTGAGTCCAACAGGAATGTTTGATGGAAATGTGGGAGAAGGCATTCTCCAAGGCCATTTCCAGACTCTGGAATTCCTTTTCTAGTAAGACTAGGAAGGCTTCCTCCCAGAAGTCCTTTTGGCAGCAGGTCAAGAATTGTTCATTCCAGTTTTTTTGTTTTGTTTTAAAGCATATCTTAAATTGTATTTATTTCATTTTATTCCTTGGATGGCAGGAGAAGGAGCAGTGCTGAATTCTTCCTCCTGCCATCCCAGAATAATCCTACATGGCAAATCCAATTTTCCAATCTCAACTTTTAGCAAATGTGTTTCATCATAACCCACTCTATTTTATATTATGCCTTGAGGCTCAATTGGAGAAAAGTTTGTGATATAAATAAAGTAGCTTTTAAAGCTACAGCTGCTGGCCAGAGGAGTGAGAGCAGTTGAACAGTGTACACCAGCAGACTTTCCAGGCATGGTAAATTATGCTACTCATGGTTTGTTATGTCTCAATTGAGTTAATTTATTTTGGCTGCTTTTAAAAAAGGGTTGTTGTTCTTACAGGTTGATAATCCTGTGTCTGTACTTACCCAGGAAATGAGCAAACAATTTTTGCAATCCAAAAATGAAGGTGATAAATACAAGGTAAATCAAAATTACTGTATTATACAGTCTCTAGTGTAGAAAATGTGATCCACCCTTATGCAGAAGTAACATGACAGACCAGTATGAAGTGTAGGAAGCCTGTATTTTTAATATATATATTAAATTTATTTTATCACATTTCTTTTTTATTTATTTTTAAAAGATATTTTTTATTTATTTTATCATATTTCAATACATTTGTTATACGGTAATTTTTTTTTTACAGCAGACACATAATAATCCGTATAATCTACAATACATTATTTTTTTGGCATCTACTGTTATTTTTATACTTATACATATTTTCTATCTCTCACCACCATGCTCCCCTCCACCCAAGCCACTCCTTTTATATCATCTGTCCAAAATTACATTTCCTCTTGTAACTTTTCCAATTCCTTGCTATAAGCAGTCTTGCTATTGTTAATACATTTGTTATTGCATCTTTGTCCTCTTTTTTTCAGTTGTTTATTATTATATAATGATAATAAAGCTATACTAGGACTTCTTTCTATTTTAATGTTCATTATATCCTTTATCTCTCTAAATACTTTCCTCACAAAATTATTTGCATTTTTACGCCATCACCACATATGTATATATGTTCCCGATTCTTGACATCCTCTCCAGCAATTTTTGAATAGTTTTTTAAAATTTATATTTGCTATTGTTATTGGTGTTAGATACCTTTTCCATATTAACTTATAATAATTTTCTTTAACCCGTATTGATAAATTTTTCAAATGTCTTGGTCCCCATAATTGTGGCCACTCTATTTCATTCATTTCTATCCCTAAATCTTCTTCCCAAATCTCCTTGAGGATATTATTTTTATTTTTTCCTTTGTTTATTTCAGTTAATATTTTATTTACTTTACTAGTTATTCCCTTCCCATTTTTTTATTCCTCTATATCCCTTCCATTTTGTATTATTTGTTCAAATCGATTAAGCTTACTTCCATTTTTATTATTTTTTACCCAATTTTTGAACCATTGTTCTAATCGTATGCAATGGAACCATGTCAATTTTATTTCTCTAAATTCTTCTATAATAATTTCCTTCTTCATTCCAACCTTTTATCCAATCCCTATTTTGTCTAAGTTTTTTCCTTATTTTTTTATCCATTATATATTTTTTGGATATTTCCTTCCCATTATAATTGGGGTTATTGTTGAACCATCCGCTATTAACTTTCTCCTGTATTTTTCCATATTTCTAATACATTACTGAATTTCCTTAATTTCTTTTTTTGTAAACTCTTTTTTAAAGAAAAAATCCAGATTCCTTTCTCTGCTTTTCCTGAATCCATTATTAGCCATTCTACATCCTCCTTTTTTGTCATTCCTTCTATAACCAATCTCATTCTGTTTGCTTCATAATATTTTTTTAATATTGGGAAGTGCAAATCTCCCTTCTTTTTGAGATCTATACCATAATTTTTGTTTAATCTATTTCTTTTACTTCCATATTACAGTATTTATTTATCATTTGTTACCATTTATTCAGTTTGTCTGTAATCTAAAGTGGCAGGAAGTGTAGGAAGCTTGTAAATACCATCTGTATCTTATTTTCAAATAATAATAATAATAATAATTCTTTATTTATATTCTGCGTTTCTCCCATGAAGGAACCCAAAAGTACTTCCAACAATGTAAATACAGTAAAAACAACAGCAATTAAAACACACATATAAACATATAAAACAATCAGTAAACATAAATCTGCATTTTAAAAACAATATATATGTTAATGTGGAGTCTTTTCAGATCATATTGCATTTTGCTCCAGTCGAAAAATTAGCCTAATGATGTAATGAAACTCTAAATGGCTAGATGGTGATATAGTAAGCATATGCAAAAGTAGCATTCTGAGGAGGGTCCTGGGTTTGCTGCTTTGTGAAACCTCTATTGTATTGTGAGATTGTGGTGAAAGATAAGGGAATGTTGTTGAATAATAATAAAAAGATTGTGCCTGTAATTTTGAAAGAAAGTTTAAAATACGGAGTTAATGTTTCTTGACGTAGTTCTTTATGAAAGCAACTCAACTGGAGCAGATGGAAGACGATTATACATACATAATGGCAACCAAATCAAGAACAAGTGATCAGATTGAACAAGGAGAAGAGGTATGAAGCCCTTCCATTTAGTTTGCAGCTAGTATTGTGTACTAGAAGGTTAACAATAAGTTAACAGTGGCCAACACACATTTTGATATCTCAAATGTTTCTGGGCGTATTTGACTTGCTGATCCCAAAAATGGCATCAGTTTCTCCCATTAGCTCTAGTTTTTGAGTCACTGAACATGCAGTTGTCTGCTCACCCAAAGAAAACCAATTCAGAAAATAGCGCTGGATAGACAGCATCAGCTCCAGTTTCTTAGATATGGCTATAGCTAAGAAACTAGAGTTGATGCTGTCTATCCCATGCTATTTTCTGAACCAACATCTCAAATAACCCCAGGAATAGGCCAAAAAACCAAAGCATCAATATTTTTTTGTTTTTTGGGCTGTGGTATTAATATAGATTTTTTTAAAAATTGAGATCAGTTCTGTATTGAGGTCCATGTAACTGTTATGATGCAGTTAAATTATGAATGGTTTTGTTGGAAAGTATTCCATGTGTGTGCATGATCTTCCTCCTTTTCCATTTCTTTCACTCCTTGTACATCCAGTTATTGTGATGGTTAGTTATTATCTTAAGCTATGGTTTCTTGTGGCTGTAATATTAAAAAAGTGTTTAAAAGTTTATTTGCAACCAGATTTTTGTCATGGGAATTTTGGGAAAAACAGGAAATGGAAGGAGAGAATGAGGAGATCCCTTGTTAAGCTATAATCTGTGGAAGAAAAATCCTACGAATATCTATTTAATTTTTTTTATTCTTAAAATATTGCTAATATCTTATGACAACTTGTTTCCTGAACAATTCTACCAGTATTAAACTTGGGAAAAAAGTATTATTTCTTGTTGCCATTTATATTCATCTAGCTGCTTTTCTTTTCAGTTTCTTGAAGAGCTTGCGGTGCAGGTTTCAAAGAAAGAAGAACGCTATAAAAGTATTGCTGCTTTGAGTGAAATGCAGAATGATTTAAAGCAGTTGCAGAACCAAATAGCTTGGGCAATGGTAATCACCTTGTTCCAGTTTCTGCTACTTAGTACCATTCAGTGTTGTTTAATTCTTTCACAATATGGTTATTTTGCTATTTCAGGTAAGAGACACTGAAAAAGACGTGAAAACAATAAAAGATGATATAGAATCAAAGGAAGCCAGAACCACGAAGTTCGTTGAGAAAGTGAATGAATGGAAGGTACATACTTTTCATTTTGTAAAGTTTGACTTCAGTTTCATCAATTCTCCCCTCAAGTAAAGCAATAGGATTCATTTTTAAAAAGGGAAGCTGTTCTTACAAAAAGATTTTATCCCCTCCCCCCAGTTCACCCCCAGTCTATTGAAGAACCAGTACTTATCTCTGCAAATTTAAATCTTGAGGACATTCTTAAAAACCTCAAGAAGCAATCCCTGAAATTTATTACAGAGGTATTAAATTGCATCTTGGTGAGGTAGTCTAGCAAAATACAGATATCTTGCATAAGGTAAATAAGTTATTTGGCTGTGAAGGAGTAAAGAACCTAATATTTGGATATCTTCTCAGTTTTTAGCTACTTTGCACAAAACCTAATGAATGAGAATAATTTTGTCTTTTCTGCAGAAGAGAGTTCAAAATGCATATTATTAAACTACAAACATTTGGCCAGGGGAATCATTAGATTTCAGTTTGATTTTTAATTAAACCAAAGCTGGTCAAGGCAGGTAAGACCAATTTTGTTCAACATTACATTTGACAAAATCTGAAGTGTAGCAACAGGAGAGGCTAACTCGCCCTCGACCAGATAAGGGGATGAGTAGCAGACTTTTGTTTTTACCAGACAAGCTTCATATTTCTTGCTTGTCAAAGGGACCAGTTATAGAATCCTATTTCCTTCTATATCTAAAGAGAGCTTGAGACTGGAGAATTAATATTTTCTTGGTACAGCGAGATTTCTGACATATTTGCTTGTTTATTTTTCAGGATAACGTTAATGTAGCAGAAGAAAACCATAGAACCATACAAGAGAAGCTTGAGAAGTTAACTGAAGAAGCACAAAATCTGCAGCCTTCGTGTACAGTTTCAAAAAGAGATGTGCAGACAAAAAGAGCAGCATACAATGATGCCGAGGTCTGTGGATGAAAAGTTCATTCTCAAATGGCTGTGTGTAGCTATGTCTAATGCTTTTATATTGTGCAATGAGAGGTAGAAAATATTGAGCATTGAAATAGGATGCTGGGAGACCAGCATTCAAATCTCTGCTTTTGGGTGACTTTGGGCAGATTGCACTTACTTGGCCTTACAGGAAAACCAAGGCAAACTCCTTTCTGAATGAGAAGTTGTACTTATCATCAAGGTTAATTCTGCCAAGAAAACCTTGTGATAGAGTTCACATTAGGTAAAGTTTTCCCTTTGACATTATGTCTAGTCTTGTCCGACTCTGGGTGGTGCTCATCTCAATTTCTAAGCCGAACAGTCGGCATTGTCCGTAGACACATCCAAGGTCATGTGGCCAGCATGACTGTATGGAGTTCCATTACCTTCCCGCCAAAGTGGTACCTAATGTTCTACTCACATTTGCATGTTTTCGAACTGCTAGGTTGGCAGAAGCTGGGGCTATCAGTGGGAGCTCGCCCCGCTCCCTAGATTCAAACTGCTAATCTTTGATCAGCAAGTTCAGCAGCTCAGCGATTTAACTCATTGTGCAACCGGGGGCTCCCAGGGTTTACATTAGGGTCACCATAAATTGGGGGCAACTTGAAGATATAAAACAATGACAAAATTGTGCAAAGCCATTTTGATGTTTGGTTCTTTTTTTCAGTGTTGTTTAATTTTTAACTGGCATGGGAGTGTGCTAAAAAATCCTCTATTTAAGATAATTATTTTACTACATTTGTGTCAGTGCTCACATTAAGATAACACTTGACAATTTTAAATGCAAATCCACTTTTCTTTTGTCCAGGGAGCATATAATCGAGCTCAAACTGATTTAAAACGATTAGGAAAAGACCATACGCGTCTTTGTCAAAAAATTGAGGAACTGAAAAATAGGTAATGTTTTCCCTTACTAAATCAGTATTTCTCAGGCTGTTGGGTCACTAGGACCTTAGAAAGTCTCTGCTAAAATCTGATGCTAAAGACTTTTTCTTCCCTCGGTTCTATGAACCTCTAAAAAGTTCATCTCTTCCCTTTCAGTTATGCCTAAATTATGTTCAAATGCATAATTTAATACCTTAAGTAACATAAAAATGCAAAATGCAGTAGGAGATACTTAGTGCCAGGATATTTGCTTGTCAGCAACAGTACTGCAAATGGCTGGTATTGATAATGGAATTGGCTCTGTTAGTACTTCCTGCAGTGAATATTTCCTAGTTTTTGAGGTGCCATAGAAGTCTGTTTCCACTGTGGCATGCTAGCTTTGTTGTCTTGTTTAAAATTAACTCGTGTGTCTTCTAGGGGAATTTATTTAGAGATTAAATGTTGTGTTAGGATGCTTATGACTTTTTTTCATGGCAACAGTTACACTCTCAGCCTCTTGGTAGATTTCTCGTATGTTACCTGTTCGAACACATCTCCCTCTATGAGCCAACTAGACCTTTAAGATCTTATGGGGAAGCCCTACTCTCAGTGCCTCCCCTTTTGCAAGTGCAACTGGCAGGGATGAGAGACAGGGCCTTCTCAGTGGTGGTTCCAGTAACATTAGACTGTCTCCATCCCTCCTGGTCTTCAGGAAAAAACTAAAGATCTGGCTCTGTACACAGGTGTTGTAGAGTAGGCTAACATGGAATTTGACCTTAATCTAGCAGTCTGAATAATGACTATGGGAAAACTAAGGAGTTTGGAAAGTATGCTTCAGCACTTTGGATGTTTTAGTCTGTATTACTGTTTTAATCTGTTTTATTGTTTACATGTTTTAATTGTTTATATGTTTTAATTGTTTTATAATTTAATATCTATGTTTATTGTTATGTATGCAATGGGGCGTTGAATTTTTTCCATAGTTAGTAAAGCCGCTCTTGGGGTGAGAAGAAGTTGTATTTTCATTTCAGCCAGGACATTATACTGTTGAGGGAGTAGGCTTATTAACAAAATGTACAGCAAAGTAAATTATTAGCAGCAGTGTGACCCAGCACCAGTAGCCCAAAGTGATAAAAAGAACAAAAACACAGAGACCAATGTTATGTCTTCCATAGAAAGCTTTTCTTTGTAGTAAAATAATATGGTTATATTATTTACAAGAACAAGGTTTCTTTCTTATGCAGATAAACATCTTCACACTCGCACTGAAATTACACACGAGCTTCACACACAGCTTTATACACGAGGATTTTAACCTGGGGCTTATTTCACTGAAGCTTCTCACACCAGGCCTTCTCTCACACTGCCTTCTCATAGACTAAGGCCTACCTCACACTTTGAGGCCTTCTCACAAGCAGAGACCTTTCTCCCACTGAGGTTTAGCTCAGACTGACTGCTACTAAGCTACAGGCACACCTGCTTATATAGAAAATCAGCTTTTACGGAGTCGTTACATCCATTTAACCCTTTCAATGCTTGACTCACATTTTTGTAATTTAAAATACTTAGTTAATTTTTAATATTTCTGACATATGCTACTTGCATTCGTGCAGAATCTGACAACTGGTTAAGAAAGGACTTTGCATTCAATGGGTGTTTGGAAAGCTTCTGCCTTGATAGTCTTTCTGATTCATGAAGAAGCTAAAGACCATTTCTGTATTATTCCTCTTTAAAATGTGGACTGTCAATATCATTACAATGTCTTTCAAAGTGATGCCAGTCTCTCTTAGTTGTAAATTTGAAAGCATAGCCAGCTAATACTGATTTTTTACTAGTTTAGTGTATGCATGAAAATTAACAAAGGAAAAGTATATTGCACTACATACAGACAGAAATACCTTGAGTTTGTCTTGATGTTTTTGGTTTTGTAGGTCCAAATAGTTTGCCAGTTGACTTCTTGAAAAAAATAGTACCTTGGTTTTTTTAATATTACAGCGCTGAACGAATTTCAGAGCCTGAAAGGCTGGAAAAACAGAAAAGAATCGACCACTTGAAAGAACAGCTGAGGGCATTATGTGATCAAGATAAATCAACCAATCAAGAACTAGAACAGTTTCGGCACACTATATATACATACAAGGAAGATTCTGTTAGGCTTAAGTAAGTTTAATAGATATAATTGAAATTGATTATTTTGTTTGTGTAATGAAAGGCATGTCAGAACTGTTTTTTTTTTTAAAAGAAATATTTGTTTATCTAACACAATCCCCATATAGATTAAGTAGCTACCACATGAATGGTATTGTCTACTGCAAGGGGATTCTCCAGTGGCTTGAGAAAAGTATGGCATTTTCTGCTGCAGTTTTGGGAAAGTTAAGATCCATTTTGATTCCTGTTTTTTCTCCAACTGGAGATACCCAGTTCTGTGATAAACATATTTAACTTTACAAAGAATTGTGAATAAAAGTAATTTCAGAAATTTCCATTGGAGGATAAGGCCATCCATTTTAATTTTGTTTTGTGAATGTTATAGCCACAAATGTATTTATTTATTTAAACTTTTATATCCCGATCTTCTCTAGCTCTGCAGAGGGACTCAGACCGGCTAACAGCAAAGATTCAATGCTAACACTGAAAATATATAACATAATACACAACATTACCAATTACATTACATAAATTACATAAAATCCGTTCGCCAGGATAAAATCGTGTCCAAATGCTTTGGGATCGGACTTGTGGACTTTACTGAAAGATGTACTCATTTTTTCTGGCAGTAAAAATGGAGTTAGTCTTTTAGTAATGCATAATAATAATAATAATAATAATAATAATAATAATAATAAGCTTTTGTCTGGTTTTTAGGAAGGAAGAATGTGAATTGAAAGAAAAAATGGACTCTCAGGCACAACAGCTGAAAAAATTAAAGGAGAGTAAAACAAACAGGTTGAAAAGATTTGGAGAGCATCTACCAGCTCTTTGTGAAGCGATTAGAATTGCTCATCAGCAGAAGCAATTTACATACAAACCAGTAGGACCTTTAGGTAATCTATTTGTTTTTTTCTGATGGACAGATGACAAAAACCTTGAACAATGGGTTGGAAATAATAAATTTCACCTATATTTTCTGATGATGTAGTAAACATGAGGTACGTCTAACTGCAGAAATAATGCAATTTGGCACTACTTTATCTGCCACGGCTCAGTGCTGTAGAATGCTGGGAGTTGTTGTTTGGTGAGGCATGAAAACCTATATCCAGCCCCAAAACTTTTAGCTTATTTTAATTTTGACTTCTACCTATTGCTAAGTTGTGATGGTCTAATCTACACTTACCCTTTTAAAAACATGGTGCTTCCAAGCTTCGTTTCCTATTATTTCCATCTAATGTTTTTACTTGAAAGAAAAATGGTGTGCACAACTCTAATAGCCAAATTTAATATTGTTTACTATGCTGAATATTAATTCTTGCATTTAGGTGTTTTTCTGCATTTGAAAGATGCTGAATTGGCTCTGGCTGTTGAGTCGTGTTTAAAAGGGCTGGTTCATGCATTTTGGTGTGATAACCATAAAGATGAAAGAATATTACAGTCATTGATGTCCAAGTACTGCCGACCTCATTTTCGTCCTCAGATCGTTGTTAGTAGATTTCAGAATAAAGTTTATGACGTAAAGGCAAGGTAAGTTGGTGACACTTGTGGCCTCAAACCTCATTTTATATCTGATTTAAATGATAAAGCAAATTATGGGTTGTTGTAGGTTTTTCCGGGCTATATGGCCATGTTCTGGAGGCAATTTTTCTCCTGACGTTTCGCCTGCATCTATAGCAAGCATCCTCAGAGGTAGTGAGGTCTGTTGGAAGTAGGAAAAATGGGTTTATATATCTGTGGAATGACCAGGGTGAGACAAAGGACTTTTGTCTGCTGGGGCTAGGTGTTAATGTTTCAGCTGATCGCCTTGATTAGCATTCAATGGCTTGGAAGTGCCTGGGGGGATTCTTTTGTTGAGAGTGATTTTATGTGCCTGTTTGTTTCCCCTCTGTTGTTTTGCTGTTGTAATTTTTGAGTTTTTTAATACTGGTAGCCAGATTTTGTTCATTTTCATGGTTTCTTCCTTTCTGTTGAAATTGTCCACATGCTTGTGGATTTCAGTGGCTTCTCTGTGTAGTCTGACATGGTGGTTGTGAGAGTGGTCCAGCATTTCTGTGTTCTCAAATAATATGCTGTGTCCAGGTTGGTTCATCAGGTGCTCTGCTATGGCTGATTTCTCTGGTTGGAGTAGTTTGCAGTGCCTTTCATGTTCCTTGATGCGTGTCTGGGCGCTGCAAATTATATTCTGGCAGTTAAGATCATAATTTGCCTCTACTAGAAACCTTGAGGAATAGCTGCTTGTCTCTTGAGTAGTTTCAAACCATCTGACACTGTTTCTCATTTAAAAACCCTGTTTTGGACAACACACATTTTCTTGCCCCATTTCAAACCGGCTTTAGAACAGAATATGGAGTTGAGACTGCTATGGTTACCTTAGTGGATGATCATCTTGACATTGACAAGGAGTGTGTGTCTCTGTTGGTGCTTTGGGATTTCTTAGCAGCTTTCAATTTCATCAACCATGGTATCCTTCTGAGACGCCTAGGGAAATTGAGAATTGGAGCCACTGGATCCGGTTGTACCTCTCAGGCAGGTTTCAGACTGTGGTGCTTGGGGATAGCTGCTCCTCAAAAAAAAAAGCTATTGGGTGGCATCCCACAAGGGGCCATTCTATCCCCAATGCATTTTAATATTTTCATGAAACTTCTGGGTGGAATCATCTGGAGGCCTGAGGTGGGGTACTATGTATGCTGATGACACCCAAATATATTTCTCCATGTCTTAAAAAATAGCTAAGGACAGTGTGTCTCTGAAGGAATGTCTGGAGGAAGTAATGAAAGTTAATCCAGATAAGACAAGTGCTTGCCATCCAGGGTCCAAACTTAGGGATGGAGGTGTGTCAACCAGTTTTGGATAGGGTTACACTCTGGTGCTGGAGGAAAGTTCTGAGAGTGCCTTGGACTGCGAGAAGATCCAACCAGTCCATCCTCCAGGAAATAAAGCCCAACTGCTCATTGGAGGGAAGGATACTAGAGACAAAGTTGAAGTACTTTGGCCACATCATGAGGAGACAGCAAAGCTTAGAGAAGACAATTATGCTGGGGAAAGTGGAAGGTAAAAGGAAGAGGGGCCGACCAAGGGCAAGATGGATGGATGGCATCCTTGAAGTGACTGGACTGACCTTGAAGGAGCTGGGGGTGGTGACGGCCGACAGGGAGCTCTGGCGTGGGCTGGTCCATGAGGTCACGAAGAGTCGGAGATGACTGAACGAATGAAAAAACACTCTCCTTTGCAGCTTGGGAGTGCTCCTGGATCTGTCTCTCCAAATGACAACCTACGTAGGCCTGCCAGAAGAGATAGGTTTTCAGTTGTGTCTTAAATTCTGGCAGCTGGTTTGGCTTTTGTAGCTCTTCCAGCATGTCATTTCACAGTCCTGGGATGGGTGATGAAAAGGTCTCTGAGTGATGGCTGCCAGGCAGGTTGTGGCTGACTGGAGTAAGTGTCCCACAAAAGACTTCAGTGTCCTAAGGGGTAGTTTGTGCAGGCGAAGGCAATCTTGTAGGTAACCTGTACCCAAACCAAATAGGACTTTAACTATCAAAATGAGTACTTTGTACTTTGCCTGGAAACTAATTGGAAACCAGTCGAGTGACTTTAGTATTCGTGTAATATGCCTACTTCTGTTCCTGTAACTAGTATGGCTGCCATGTTTTGAACTAATTGGAGTTTCCTAAGGAGTAAGCTGCTTGAATTTGTGGTAAAATATTTTAGAGTAAAAGTCCACAAGATTGGACAGGAAACTGAACTGGAAAATATATTTCCATTACCAAAGGCTGACTTTTATTTCAAAGACTTCTGCCAATGTTACAACACTGTCTCTTAGTGGGCTGTTGTTATTGATATACCATGGTGTGTTGCATGAGTGCCTACTTGTAATAATACTAGACAATCCTCTGATTTCAAAACTAAAAAGTTCTGCCAAAGTATCTTTTGTATGACTTGTTTTGTTGTACTGTCTCAAGTTTTAAAATATGTATATTACTGCTTTAACTCTTTTACAGGGCTGTTTTTCATCCAAACTTCCCATCGGTTTTGACAGCATTAGAGATCGATGATCCAGTGGTAGCCAATTGTTTGATTGATATGAGGGGTATAGAAACAATCCTTCTAATAAAAGTAAGACTTAACTATATTATAGTAATAATTGAACTTCTTCATTGCTGGAGTACTCCCTTTATGATATCAGTATTGGAATTCAACCCCACATTGCCCAAGTCTCAAGTCCTCAATGAGGAACAGTTTAGTTATTTTAGTATAGTCGGGGAATTCCCTTCCTCCATGTCTCCTGTATAACTGTTGGAATGTATCTAATTCCTTTTCTCCTCTGTTTCTGCTCTCATTCTGATTGGTTGTTTAAAATGGATACTTTTCTACTACAAGCCTTTTGAATCTGACCTGCCTTTTTCCACTTTAGTATGGAGAGTATGTGCTGTGTGCTTTGAGATCTCTCTCTGCTTTTGGGTCAGGAGAGATGTAGTGATTGGTGTATTTTCCCTCTTTTGAAAGCTTAGAAGAGATGAGTCCTAGAGTAGTTCAGACCCGGTTCTTGATTATTAAAAAATGCAGTTATTTCTTAATATTTTAAATAAACCTTTTGTGATTATTTTTAATGATTGGACTCGGCATGTTTGCCTCCTAAGATCTGAATTCTTTACAGCCACATCACACGACACTTCACACTCTGTCCACTAGTGAGCTGATGCTCAACTTTTGTATCCTGTTTGTTTTTGGATGCTCTGTTGTATATTTTAGGGTAGTTTTCTCTAACAATCAGCGTAAGAGATGAATAGTTAGAAATGATATAGATTTCTTAAATTAACTACTTATGTTAGTACAAATTGAGAGGCAGTATGTTGTGGTGGTTTGAGCGTTGCACTACTAGTGGAGATTGGGGTTTGAATCTCCATTTAGATGTGGAAAGGCATTGGGACCCCATTTACATTGATCATTTAATGCAGTTCGAAGCTAGGTTCAAACTGGTGGCTAGACAACAAACTCTTGTGCAGGCACGTGCAAAAAAGCCTTTAATGTACATCAGTGCTTTGTGGTTTGTGTAATCACCATCCAGGTCTCAAACTGCACCTAGGTTTTCCTGTGTAATTATCTACGCAGCAAAACCACTTTCTTCAATACTGGTTTGAAACTGACTTAAGTGTCAGTAGCGAGATGCCCTAAGTGATTTTAAGCAAGTCACACTATCTCTGTCTTAGAGGAAGACCTCCTTTAACCAAATCCTGGCAAGAAAACCCTGTGATGGGTTCCCTTTAGTGTTGCTATAAGTCATAAGCAAGTTGAAGGCATATGACAACAACCAGAAGGTGAGAATTTGAAAAATGAAGTTATTAGGATTTAAAGGAAAGGCTTGATGGTTTGTCCCATGTGGCAAGATCATGACGTCTGATTTGGCTTCATGGCAGGTTAATTCTGTAGCAGCCCCACTAGTGTCACGGAGAGTGGGAGAGGTAAATGCTCATTATGAGAAACCGTTTTGCTAGAAAATGAGTCCCTTGCATAGAAATGAATTCATGAAAGAAAGTGTTGGAATGCTAGCTGGTCTTTAACAAGATATTAGAAAGAATGGTTCAACTATTTTTGAACCATTGTTGAACCTCCATGCCGCACTTTAGGTAGCGCTAGCGCTAGACTTTGGTTTTCTTGCACTTTAAGAACTGCACCTTAAGATCGCACTTTAGGTAGCGCTTAGTGCTAGATTTGATTTCCTTGCACTTTAAGAACTTGCACTTTAAGATCGGCTCCAGCTGTACGTAGTCTACCACCACTACTCATGTGGTCCCCTACTTCCCTATTTTTACTATCCTTGGTGCTAATTACTTGTGGAAGGGACACGGGACGTAACGGGCTGGAGATTGTGGGAAATGATAAGGCGGGGGGGGGGGGGGGATAAAGGAAATGGAAGAACATGGCAAAGTAAGACCTTAACAAACCAGACAACCAATAATGGGATAGAAATAAAAGTCGTGGAAATAGACTGCGGCATGGAGGAGGGGAGGGGTTCTACTTGCCGACGAGCCCCCATAGAATTCGTGGTGGGGAGGGGGAGAGGCGGGAAAAGGAGACCATTAATTCGGCCTAGGGATCGTACAACTACACTAGTAATTCCAAACAGGTCTCCTAATATGGTAAATTGGTGTAACCGGGGTGGCGGTCCCTCTGGATTGAAGGTGGTGCTGTTGAACGCCAGATCTGTCAACGGAAAAACTACTGCCATCCAGGATCTAATCCTGGATGAGCGGGCAGATCTGGCGTGCATCACGGAGACCTGGTTGGACGAAGCTGGAGGCGTGAATTTGACCCAGCTTTGCCCACCAGGTTTTTCCGTGCAGCATCAGCCAAGATCCGGAGGGCGGGGAGGCGGGGTCGCAGTGGTCTATAGAGATTCCATCCCTCTGACCAGGGGCCCCATCCCGCAGTCAACAAATTTTGAACCATCACTGGACCCCACTAAATTTGACAACTTTCGGCCAGTTTCCAATCTTCCCTTTTTGGGCAAAGTCCTGGAACGCGTGGTGGCCTCACAACTCCAGGTATTCTTGGGAGACACGGATTATCTGGATCGGCACAGTCTGGTTTCAGACCGGGACATGGAACCGAGACAGTCTTGGTCGCCTTAGTGGATGATCTGCGCCGGGAGCTCGACAGGGGGAGTGTGTCCCTGTTGGTGCTGCTGGACCTCTCAGCGGCCTTCGATACCGTCGACCACGGTATCCTTCTGGAACGCCTTGCGGGGATGGGTCTTGGAGGTACTGTTTTACAGTGGCTCCGGTCATTCCTGGAGGTCGCTCCCAGAAGGTGTTATTGGGAGACACCTGTTCAACCCCACAACCCTTGTCGTGTGGGGTTCCTCAGGGCTCTATACTGTCCCCCATGCTGTTTAATATCTACATGAAGCCGCTGGGTGAGATCATCCGGAGTTTCGGGGTACGGTGTCATCTGTACGCAGATGATGTCCAACTCTGTCACTCCTTTCCACCTGCTACTAAGGAGGCTGTCGAGGTCCTGAACCGGTGCCTGGCCGCTGTAACGGTCTGGATGAGGGCGAACAAATTGAAATTGAATCCAGACAAGACAGAGGTACTCCTGGTCAGCCGCAGCTTGGGTGTGATCCTGGATTCATCGTTGAGCCTGGAGCCCCAGGTCGGCGGTGACCAGGGGAGCATTTGCACAGCTTAGGCTCGTGCGCCAGCTGCGCCCGTATCTTGGGAAGTCTGACTTGGCCACGGTAGTCCACGCTCTGGTTACATCCCGTTTAGAGTACTGCAACGCTCTCTACGTGGGGTTGCCTTTGAAGACGGCTTGGAAGCTCCAACTAGTCCAACGCTCGGCAGCCTTGATACTAACAGGAGCAGGACGCAGGGAGCACACAACCCCCTTGTTGTACCAGCTCCACTGGCTGCCGATCTGCTACCGGGCTCAATTCAAGGTGGCCTATAAAGCCCTAAACGGTTCCGGCCCAAGATACCTATCCGACTGCATCTCGACCTACGAGTCCACGAGGACTTTGAGATCTTCCGGGGAGGCCCTGCTCTCGATCCCGCCTGCGTCACAGGCACGGCTGGCGGGGACGAGAGATAGGGCCTTCTCGGTGGTGGCTCCTCGGCTGTGGAACACCCTTCCCGTGGACATCAGGCTAGCCCCCTCCCTGTTGATATTCCGCAGGAAGTTAAAGACCTGGCTATTTAAGAAGGCATTTGATCAAGAAGTGCAATGACTGGTAATTTGACCATAGGAATGGAACAACGGAAATGATATCGGATTGTGGCTTTGACGATGAGACGATTCGGAATGTAGTAGAAATTTTGTAGTAATGTTGATGTTTTGATGTTTTTCTGATAATGATGAATTGTGGATTGTTTTGCACTATGTTTTGTAATTTGCACCTGTTTTTTCATTTTGTACACCGCAATGAGTTGCCCTTGGGCTGAGAACTGCGGTATATAAGCGCAGTAAGTAAATAAATAAATAAATAAATAAATAAATATTGTGGAAATATGATAGTCACAATAATTACCATCCTTTAAAAATCAAATGATTTTCCTTTTAACACCCTAGTTCTAAATGCAGTATGTGTAGGTAAGATGCTTTGGTCATGGTTTTCTTTTTCTCCCCTAGAATAATGTTGAAGCCCGCAGAATAATGCAGGAAAATAAACCTCCCCAAAATTGTAAAGAAGCTTTTACTGGTGCTGGTGATCAGGTGTATCAGAGGCGGTATTACTCCTCTGAATATACTCGGCCCAGATTTCTCAGCCAAGATGTGGAAGCAGATATAAGGTTAGCATCAACTAAATGCTGACTTTTTCGATTATAAGACAGGTCTGAATGTTGGGACCAATTCTGTTTTGTTTGTTTTTTAATTTTATCATAAAGATGTTTTTGAGCAGTGCTTTGTTCCTTTAAGGCATTTGGAGGAAGAAGTTAAACACAAACACATTTGCCTGTCAAAATTTCAACAAGAATTACGTCATGTTGAGAATGAGATTAGAAAAAACAATTCTTTACTTATTAATCATCAGCAACATCAAAAAGATATACAGGTAAGAGATACATAAGGAATGGAATGTATGTGTAATATGGGAAGGTAACTTATAGGCATCTAAAAGAATAGACACATACAATATGTGCGATGAGCACTGAGCCAGAGGATAAAACGATGATGTTCATCAGAATGTCAATGGAATAGCATAAAAGAAGCAGAAGAGCCAATTGGTTATATATTGTGATGTTCCTTGAATGAGCTATGTTGGGAATCTACTAATAGATGTCATTTCATAATCAAGCCACAAGCATGTTATATTAGTTCATTAGATTGAGTAAATTATATTGTAGCATACTTACGTCAAAAAATCTGGAAACATCCAGGTATATCCTATGGTTATGTTTTAATTCTAAATTCTGTTTGTTTCACCTATTATGTGCTTTTTGAAAGTATAATTGCGTAGACTGATTTTGCCGTTTGTTTACTGTTTTGATAGGGTGGCATTCCAATAAATTTGCCAGATGAGATTTTCGTATGATATAATAATATAATATAATATAATATAATATAATATATATATATTCGTGTCGGGAGCGACCTGAGAAACTGCAAGTCGCTCCTGTTGTGAGAGAATTGGCCGTCTGCAAGGACGTTGCTCGGGGACGCCCGGATGATTTGATGTTTTATCATCCATTTACAATATTATAATATAATGCAATATAATAATAATAATATATGATAATTATATATTTACATTACATGTAATATTACGATATAGTGGTATGTTGTAATATAGCAATGTTTAATGCTGATATTGTACTATGCTAATAATATAATATATTATATGTAATATATACCTTGTAAACCGCTCTGAGTCCCCGTCGGGGTGAGAAGGGCAGCATATAAATGTCATAAATAAATAAATAAATAAATACAATTTATTTTACACAAACCCACTAAATACTGGGTTTGTGTCTTGCTAGTCTGACACCCTTGCCATTACACTCCTGAAATGTTTATTGTTTTAAATTAGGGTCATTGAAATATAGTGCTTTTTCTCTGAATCAGGCTCTACATGGTGTCCTTTTCTCAGAGTTGGAAGTTGCTTTTGTGCATAGTGTTCTTGAACTTGCTAAGAATTTAATAAGCTTAGTTAAGAACTTATTCCAAGATAGAGAAGCCATATAAAGTCTCATCTGTTCTTAAGATTTTGACAATGCTTTTCTCATGGATAGTTCTTTATAGAAAATTGAGGTGTGACTAATTTTCATGAACTTCGAATGTAAAACTTAGAACAGTGGTTCCCAATCTTTTTTTGACCAGGAACCACTTGACCAGGGACAACTCTCCAACAGGAGTACCAAAAGGATTACGAAACAGGTTTTAGAGTCGGTTCGGTTATTAAGGGTGCTGATTCAGAAAATTGCATTGGATAGACCACAGCTCTAGTTTCTGATACAGAACATATGCCATCCAGCAGTCGTCATCTGCTCGCCCACAGAATTTTGGAAAAAAATGGCAATCATTACCTTTTTGGCAAATGTGAATCTCCATGAAAATTGGGGGACCGTCCTTTGAAAACCACTAGTCAAGTAAAGGCATGTCCTTGTTAGAAGTCAACCCTTTGAAAAAGTGATTTTCACAAGCATTCATGCAAAGGTACACAGGTTACCCAGCTGTTACACTGGTAAACCATGTCTTTGAACTGCCAGGGACAAAGACATGCCACTGCATAAAAATATATTTGGCCAGCAGAGCTTTAATTTTTTTTGAAGTGGGAAGCTGAAATTGCAGTTGCCTAAAACATATGCTCTCCCTTGAAACCTCTTAGTTTAAAGTATGCACTCGGAGACAAAAAAAACAAAATCTTTAAGTATATACCTTATGGAAGTCCAAACTGTGTAATTGTACTCACTGCATCTCAAGGCAAACATATACGAATAGTAAACTGTTGCTGCATAAGTACAAATTGGCATCTGCTTCTATTGAAGTCCAAAAACATACTGATAACAAAATGGAGTCTTGAGTCTAACATGCTCAGTACAAGCACATGTTTGTAGTCAAACTGGCAAATCAACATATACATACAATACAGGTTAGTAAACATATGCATTAACAAACAAATAGTCAAGGGTTAGAAGGTTGCTATTTCCAACACAAAAAAATCATATTTAATAAGCCTCAGCACTATAATAGGGTTTCGCGAGACCAGTTGCTCTCATTGCAATGGCGTAGTAACTGTGAGGCCATGGACCATATTTTAGTTCTTGCGGACCACTGGTGGTCCAGGGACCATAGGTTGGGAGCCACTGACTTAGAAGAGTACTTCACCCACTAAGTTGTAACCATAGTTACTTTTACTTATTTTTAATCCAGAAATTACTATATGTCTTCGTCTCATTGAGTCTCTTACAGTTCTGTAGCACTGAACTTTAAATGTTTATTTTGTTTATTTTTATGGCTTTTTTAGAAAGCAATCAGAAAAATAAACTCAGAAATTGTGGATCTTGAGAGTGTTGAAGAGCATCAGTCAGGGCTCATCCCTCTGTTGGTAAGGATGGTATTTCTTTATAACATCTATATTATAATATTGTGTAAGTTGAGGATAGAATTTTTTTCATGATTAATAAGAATTCTGAGGAACCACAATTCATTTATCTATATCAGTTAGACAAGAATCAAGTTTCTTCAAATTCCAAGGAACAGTATTTGGTTGCAAACTATAAAAGGGAAGTTAGAATACAAAAAAGCAAAGCGAGCAGTGGGTACATATTTTTAATGTAGTAAAGACAAAATTAAATCAACTGATATACCTTAACAGTTCTGCAAAATTGTTTGTTTTGAAGATTTGAAAGTAAACTTTGGAAATGATTGACATTAGATATCTATTATGACAAAGATTATGCAATATTACCTCAGTATCCTTGGATTCATTTTTCCATGTCTGACAAAATATGTCATCTTGAGGCGTTTTCTAAATCCTCCAACACAACTGCATGATATCCTTGGGGCAGAAATCCTTTTTAGTAGTATTCACTATTATCTGCAGTTTCATATCCACACGAAGTCCAGGAATTTATCTGCATACTTAATTTTAAAAACCTTAAAGAGGAAGCAACAGGAAATACAAATAAAAATATAAAAATACACAGTACTAACTAATGTAACAGTTTCTGGGCATGTTTAGCCTGAAGAAGAGAAGGCTGAGAGGAGACATGATGAGGGCCATGTACAAATATATGTGAGAGGAAGTCAAAGGGGTCAAGCTTGTTTTCTGCTTCCCTGGAGACTAGGATGCAGAGCAGTGGCTTCAAACTACATGAAAGGAGATTCCACCTTAACATTAGGAAGAACTTCCTGACTGTGAGAGCTGTTCAGCAGTGGAACTCTCTGCCCAGGAGTGTGGTGGAGGCTCCTTCTTTTGAGGCTTTTAAACAGAGACTGGATGGCCATCTGTCAGGGGTGCTTTGAATGTGATTTTCCTGCTTCTTGGCAAGGTGTTGGATTGGATGGCCCATGAGGTCTCTTCCAACTCTATGATTCGATGATTCTAATGCTTTCTCTTGCAAGCTTTCCTGTAGTGGTACTATTTACAAAGAAATAGTACAATATTCAGTAATTATATGGATTCATCCTTACTGTGTTAACAACAAAGAGTAACAAACACAGATCCCTCTGTTGAATACATTGCTAACAATAATTTAAAATGGAAATAGTTTTCCATTCCTTAATTGCTAACAGGTTTCTTGTTATTTACAATCATGGCAAGATTACTAGATTGACTAAGAATGTGCAGGATACATCATATAGTCCATATACTTTGTGGTCCATCTTGATTGAAAGGGAGATTATTATCACCCAATTAAATCTCAGTTTCATGCCCTGGAATTCAAACCAGTTTGAAAATAACTTGGATATTTTTATAGGAAGAAGAAGTGAAAATAACCCAGCAGAACATGGAAGATATCAAACTGCGTATATGTACATATAAGAAGACGATGGAACAACTAAAAAATATTCAACAAGAGGCAGAACAGAAACTGGAAGAAATTAAAAGAAAAATCATTCAAATACAAGAAGAAGCTGTTCCGGTTCAGGTATGTGCACACACAGGCATACTTGTGGTTATATGTGCAAAATATGTACCAGAGAATGAGCATCCCTTATCCAGAAATCTGAAGTACTGTACATCAAAATCCAGAGTTCTCCACATGGGTGGCTGAGTTAGTGACACATTTTCTTTCTGATGTTTCAAATGTGCACAAACTTTGTTTCATGTACAAAATTATTTTTAAATTGTATAAAACTACATCAAAGTAATGTGTATAGATCTATATGAAAAGTAAATTAATTTAATATTTAGACTTGAGTATCTCAAAGAATTTCCATTATGTATATGTGTACAGGCATTCCAAAATCCCCAAAACTAGTAATAATAATAATAATAAGCTACTGTTTTACCCCGGTGTAGTTCTAGACACAAACAGCCGCACCCACCCTTAAAAGGACATGGCTTATGTATAGTCCAGTGGTCATGGAATTGCTCCTTTAGCCTTCCTGAGAATGAGAGATCGATGAAGGATCAATCTAGAAAGGCAAAGGGAGCCTTCTATCAAAAACAAAAAAGGAGAAAGAGAAAGGAAGAGTATCATATTCTAACTTTTGAACTGAAGTCTGTACACTGCAAGAGCGGATCAAAGCTGTCACAAAAGGGAAGCAGAAAGAAATGGGAACTATGCACGGAGTGGTTTACAATTTGGGTCTTCTGCCTTGATCAGCTGGCATGAGCAAATAACTAGTCAGTTGATCAAGGCAGAAGAAAATAACTAGAGCTGCGGTGGCACAATGGGTTAAACCCTTGTGCTAGCTGAACTGCTGATGAAGGTTGGTGGTTCGAATTCGCGAGATGGAATGAGCTCCAGTCTGTCAGCTCCAGCTTCCCTTGCGGGGACATGAGAGATGCCTCCCACAGGATGGTAAAACATCTGGGCGTCCCCTGGGTAACGTCATTGCAGACGGCCAATTCTCTCACACCAGAAGCTACTTGCAGTTTCTCAAGTTGCTTCTAACATGAAAAAAAAGCAAATAACTCAATGGTTATAGATTGTTCCTTCTGATATTCTAAAATAACAATTCACACTAAGTATCAGCCTTTCCTTTTATAATGAATACATTTTTATAGCTGCACTTGTTACTGATGCTTACATACATAATTGCATGAATAAATCAACTAGTTTATATTTCATACTGATTTGTTCTTAACAGGAAGGATTAAATCAAGCTGAATGTGAACTGGAAAGAAGTAAAAATAATTTACGACATTATGAAGAGAAAGAGAAAGAACACTTGAAGTCAATAAATGCACTTAAAAATAATCTAGCTGCAAAAGAGAAAGAATTAGAGGTATATCTTCTCTTTAATAACTTTTATGTTATTAGTAAGATGTCCACTAAATGTTGTGCTTGTATATGTTTCCAATATCCTTCTACTTTTCTGGAACTATTTATTTTAATACAAGTTAATGAAACATCTTGCAATGCCCAAAGCCAAAACATGCATTAGAAAAGGGCATACGCTAGACTAGTGGTTCCCAACCTTTTTTTGACCAGGGACCACTTTGACCATAGACCACTCTCCAACATTAGTACCAAAAGGGTTATGATTTTTGGTCAACTTTAGATTCGGTTTGGTTATTTGGGGTGCTGATACAGAAAGTTGCATTAGATAGACCACATTAGTTCTAGTTTCTGATATAGAACATATACTATCCAGTAGTCACCATCTGTTCGTCCAAAGAAAACCATATTTAATAATGCTCAACACTGTAAGAGGGTTTTGCGAGACTTACTGCTGTTATTGCAACAGTGTAGTAACGATGAAGCCACGGACCATATTTTAGTTCTTGCGGACCACTGGTGGACGACAGGTTGGGAAGCACTGCTCTAGACTTACCAAGAGCTGCCAGAATATATCTGAAGAGATCTCACAAGTGTCAACAAATGGAATCTTTTTCATGTCATTAGTCCTCAGACATAAGAACAGAAGGTGTCCAGTTGTGTTTTGGTTCACAAGATAAAGACATGCATTTTTTTTTCATTTTAGAGGAGGCCAGATCCAACAAGGGTGTGGGCTCCCTCAATGAGTTCCATTGGGTACTTCAGTGTCATTTGTGATAACAAATTCATTGAAAGGCATATGTAAAGGCTGCTCATCAGTCTGAACCCAGCACATTTATTAGACACTATACGCTTGACAAGTTTAAGCCTGCAGGGGCAGCCCTTGGGGATAACTGTGTTGTAGGCTGTAGTTAGATAAATGGTGTTTACCTCACCTGGATTGTGACGGATTTCTCCTCATGACACCCCAAAAATAAGACATTGGATTTACCATGAAAATTAATTTTGGGATGACATGGGGAACAATCCAGACTTACCCTTGGGAAATTACTGAAGATTGAAAAAAACCCAGCAAGTTTTGTAATGTTGATAGAACTTTTATTAAGTTGCATAGTTTGATGAGCTAAAAATAATTAGGGTTGGAGAAGGTAACTAGGCGAGAAGGAGGGGTCCACACAGAAAAAAACTGTGATAGAATGTAGACTCCTGCTAGTTAGGTTAACACTTGGGAAGGAACCCAGTTATGGTGAATTGCTCCTCATGCCATCCCAGAATGAATCTTCATGGGAAGTCCATTCTTTCATTCCCATTTCAGATTCATATCTATTGGTCAAGTGGTTTCCTGAGTGTTGTGTAACTGACCTTAAGCTTCAGTTGATGAAGTCATTGGGCATTGCTCACTTAAAGTAAAAGCTTGTTTTTTAACACTCTCTGCAGACTGAGACTCATTCTTATAACATTTTTATATTGGTGGCATGATATCTCATCCTTTGGCCGTGGTACTGTTTTTACCCACATGCTACAGATGTTACAATAGCAGGAGTTTTGATAGTGGTCACCTCCTTATCTCTATATATCTTGAGGTTGATTGAAGGGAAATAGGGACCTATCTCCTGGGAGAGTTCTTTATATAAGGAACACATAAATGAAAAAGTATTCTAGGTAGGAAGAACTCTGCCACAAACCTGAGACTACTGAGATGCCTTTGATTTAGACTCCTTCAGTGTGATGATATCAATTCCACTACCATCATTGAAGTTGAACCCCCACCTTCCCAATTTTGGAACTTGTGATGAGAGAGGAAGCTCCAATTGTATCTCTGCTATTGATTGAAACCGAATCATCTAGACATGACCTTCCATCAGTGGCTCTGCTGTCAGAACCAATTGTTATTTTTCATTACTGATGACCCAAGTCCAATAGTCTATAGGGAGCGATCTTATGCTTCATCAAGGTCATGGTACTGAGATCACAGGAATAAGGAGGAGTCTTCTTTTACATTTGCATCATATGTGGTGAGATACTGCAATGAACATTTACGGAGAAGGTGCCTTAATTATTACTACTCTTACTCCCCATTCTATAGGGATCATTACAGTTGGTGTGATAATGATGCCGTCTGATTGTGTACTCAGTACAAAAACAGATTTTAGTCATGTTTTCCATCAAAGCACAGATCTCCATTATGACAAATAGCATCAGTATTGAAGAGAGATGCTACGATTTGAGGCTGCTGGGATTCACCCTCTCCTCCACTGAGAACACTGATCAACTCATTCGCAACTCCATCGTTGAAACCATCCATTGCTGTGGCTGTTCCAGCACTCCTGATCATATCATTAGCATATACAATAGTACTATCTGCTGGCTGGACCGCCACAGTCAATTCAAGTCTCAATCTTTGGCATTACTTATACTAAATATAGCTACATCAAATTCATTGGTATCAGATACAGCAGTCTGACGTTTCTCTGTCTCCACGTATTCAGTCGGTACCAACTTCAACTATCTAAAACTGTGGTTCCAAAACAAGGAGGCACGTATGGTATATTTTGGGTTACTCTTTCACAAGTTCTTAGAGAGAGATTGCTACCTTGTTGGGAAAGGATGCTGAAGAGAAGATTCCAGATTAATGCAGGATAAACTTTCTTCAAGGATCTTCACCAAATGTATGGCTGGGTGTAATAATATTTTTCCTCAGGATATGAGAGATTTTTTTCCCATATCAAGATGGGTGGCTGTTGATGGGGTCCTGCAGAAGGAAGCTATTCAGTTAACATTGTCACTCCTATATGACCTGGGCTTCCATATGAATCCCAAAATGTTTATTTTGGCATCTACAGAGATATAAAAACCATGCTAGACTTGACCAAGGGAAGAGTATTCTTACTTTACAACACAGATCATGCATTGGAAAATGTAGTCCCTTCATTACCATGTTATCTCAATTGATCACACAAAATAATAAAGTCAGTAGGTCTGATTGCAGCAATGTCTACACCTTAACTTCCATCCATTATAACATTGGTTCCCGAAGAACTCTGATTCTTTGATGGATCATCAGACAAATTAATGATTCTACTAGATGTGCATCTCTCATTTCTTTGATAGACTATGTTACTGGATGCTGTTTCGTTCCCCAGAACCATCATGTGTACTTATCTCCAATGCGTCCTTCACAGTGTGGGGTATATATTTTGCATTCATGAGTGTGCAAAGCCACTGGAATGAAGATGGGTCATGTTTCCACACCAGTGCCCAGGAGTTGATAGCTATAATCAAGGTGTTCGATGCCTCTGAATGACATCTTAGATGGGGTTTCTGTTCAGAAGCTTTCCAAATGGGTTGTTGAGACCCTCAGATTTCCCTATAGATAGGTCACACATTCAGTACTGACTGTATGCACATTCACTTATGATAACTTCATCTACAGCAGTGGTTCTCAACCTGGGGTCCCCAGATGTTTTTGGCCTACAACTCCCAGAAATCCCAGCCAGTTGACCAGCTGTTAGGATTTCTGGGAGTTGGAGGCCAAAAACATCTGGAGACCCCAGGTTGAGAACCACTGATCTACAGCTTTGTTTAGAGGGGAATTATGTAATGTGGGCAGTTGAATGGATTGCTGTTAGAGAATATGTACATTATTATATAGTAGTTAAGCTATGTTTGTTATGCAGTAATAGTGGGAACTGCAGGAGGGGAAAACTCCATTTCTTACTACACGTTGGAGTTGTATACATAGTTTCAGTGGCTTATTACAACATGAAAACATCCAAATAATTTCACAAATCTTTCAAGCAAAATGTACATAATGAATTAATTAATTTTGTCATATTTCAACATGTTCATTAGGAAATGATTGCAAAGGCATCCCAAATCCATCTAGAAAGAATAGAAGTAACTAGAACCTTTAAAAGTCTTCATACAGAAATGGAACGCTTACGAGAAACAATACAGTCAGAAAGAGAACGTACTGGGGATAAAGAAGAAATCATAAGGTAAATTTTAATGGTGGTGTTAAAATAAGTAAGAAGATATGTATTCATCCCATTTTTAATTTCTTTTGCATTCATTTGACATGATAGATGTTGATAGTAAAAGCTGGAGGTGGAGTGAGGGAGTGTGATTTTGCTATGATTTCAACTGAAACTGATTGGGGAAATGTATCTTGCAACTGATCATCAGAGTTAGGGTATTCAGTGTTCTGCCTTTCGAGTTGAATTGTGTAGCTAGCAGGAGAATGGCCACCTGTCTTGAATCTTGTATGGAACTCAATCCCTGTGACTCTCTATAATATATTGGATTCTTTGTTTTAATGATTTTATTTTGAAACATGATGCAAATAGGCTTTGTAACAATTGAAAGATGATAGGGAATGCTTTCAGAAAACAATACTTTGTTTTTGCTTGAACATGAAGGCACAAGTTGGAAGAATCCTTCAGGATTGGATCAAGATTTCATCTTCTACAGGCATAGGCCCGGTATAATCCTGTGTCACTTGACACCCAAGGCTGATTTCACAGTTCCCCAAAATTCTCATGCCCAGTGCTCCCAAAAAGTTCAGTGAAAACAAAACACCAAAAAATGTTCTATATCAATATCCACCTTATAGACTTCCAACTAGGTTGCATTTTTTGCCTCTGCTCCCACAGTGGCATATTTTTTTATATTGTGTACACCGCTGTGAGTCGCCCCCGGGCTGAGAACAGCGGTATATAAGCAAAGTAAATAAATAAATAAATAAATATTTTAGATCTCTGGTGACCTTTCCCTTTAAAAATAAAAAGGAATTGCCCATGAATGCACTAAATTTGTGAAAAATTCCCTCAGGGCTTAGGTAATTGGTCAGCAGCATAACCAGTTGTATCTCCTGGAGACTTAATAATAATAATAATAATAATAATAATAATAATACTTTTTTTGTACCCCGCTACCATCTCTCCAAGGGACTCGGTGCGGCTTACATGAGGCCAAGCCCACAGCACATCAATAAACAAAGGCGATAACGAATAGTCAATACAAAACAGTTACAATAAAATAAAATAAAAACTCAAAAACAAAAAATACACAATAAACAATATCAATAACAATAACGTACAGCATTTAAAAACTAATGGCCGGGCCAAATGTAATAATTAAAATTTAAAATGCTGGGCATGAACAAGGTAAGATAAGCTAGGATACGGTTTTCAAAGAAAGATGAGGGCACGCAGACAATCCTAAATCAATATTAAACTGCATTTGAGGATATATTGCTAAGAGTTTTCCTATTCTGGGAAGGCACACTGGAACAACCACATTTTCAGTCTCCTCCTAAAAACTGCCAGCGTTGGGGCATGTCTGATGTCCCTAGGGAGTGAATTCCAGAGTCGAGGGGCCACCACCGAGAAGGCCTTCTCCCTCATCCCCACCAATCGCGTCTGCAAAGTAGGTGGGAGCGTGAGCAGGGCCTCTCCAGAAGATCGAAGAGATCATGTGGGTTCGTACACAGAAATGCGGTCACGCAGGTAGGCAGGTCCCAAACCGTTCAGGGCTTTGTAGGTAATAACCTGCACCTTGAATTGGGACCGGAAAATGAATGGCAGCTTGTGGAGCTCCTTAAACAGGAGACTTGGGTGTTATTCGTTTTTAAAAAGGTTTTACCAACTCCCTTCAGAGATGGCCTTCTGTGGTAATGAAGGGCAGAATGTGGCCCCTATTCTATGGAAGTTGTCATCCTCTAATCTACTTAGTCAACATTACTCCTATCCAAGTGTTTTGGGGACTACAGGTAGGTCATGGTCAGTAGTTCTTTCTTATCACTAGAAAGTCAATGAAAAGTATTCAGAGGTGGCAGTTGGAATAGGCAGGGAATTTCCTTTTGAGGACATCTTTGGAGGATCTTATCCAAATTATAATTGCAAGGTTAATGCTTTTGATACCTATTGTTACATGCAGGCAATTTCAGGAAGCAAAAGAGAAATATCAAATGACAGAGAATCAAGTCAGAAGTCTGAAGAAATTTATTAAATTACTGGAAAACATGATGAAACAGAGATTTGATGCTTATACGCTTCTTAGAAGGTCAGTGTTAGCAAATCTGTTTTCTAGAATGGTGGATGGGCATCGTGCGAGTGGGCCCCATTTTAATCCTCATGATTGTCTGCAGTGCTTCATTTCCCTAACATTATTGGCTGAAGATTAACTGAAAATTATAAACTGAAATCACTCTCACTTGTAATATTTCCTCACCTCAGTTTTGAGGGGAATGGAAAAGGTTTTAAAGCACAATCCACTGCTTCTTGAATCAGTAAATGACCACTTTAAGATAAAAGCCAATCAATTAAAATAATTGATTGAGTCCAGGAACTTCGGGGAGAAAATTGAGGAGGCCATAGGACAGTGGTTCTCAAACTGTGGGTCCCCAGGTGTTTTGGCCCACAACTCCCAGAAATCCCAGTCAGTTTACAAGCTGTTAGAATTTCTGGGAGTTGAAAACCAAAACATCTGGGGACCCACAGATTGAGAACCACTGCCATAGGAGGTATATGCAGACCATGAGTGCAATGATTCTTACATTTGATTTTACTAGTTGCATCCTTGTTTAAAAATCAAACATTAACCCATTGATAATAGAGAACTCGGAGCCCCAGGTGACACAGCAGGTTAAACAGCTCAGTTGCTGAACTTACTGACTGAAAGGTTGGTGGTTCAAATCTGGGGAGTGGGGTGAGCTCCTGCTGTTAGCCCCAGCTTCTGCCAACCTAGCAGTTTGAAAACAAGCTCATGTGAGTAGATCAAAAAGTACTGCTTCAGCGGGAAGGTAACGGTGCTCTATGCAGTTATGCTGGCCACATGACCTTGGGGGTATCTACGGACAATCCTGGCTCTTCAACTTAGAAATGGAGATGAGCACCACCCCCCCACCCCCCAGAGTCGGACATGACTAGAATTAATCTCAAGAGGAAACCTTTACCTGATAGAGAACTATTGTTCCTAGCTTTCACATTTAAAACTTTTCTGCCATATATTATAAAAAGCTAGTTTAATAAATCAGAATTGAAAAGTACTTTTATACCTTTGGTTGCAGGGTATCATTTAATGTTCAAAACATCACTTAACAAACTTTGCAAAAGTTTCAGCTCAATAGTTTGAAATGCTACATAAAAATTGTTAAGACACTGTATGTAACTGCTGAAAAACACATAACAGACAACCCATGCATTCTGAAAATGCATGGGTTGTCTGTTATATGTTTGCTAGGAACATTTCGCAGCCCAGAACCAAAAGTGAGAAATGCAGATAAAAAGTTTGAATGTCTCATACAACTGTATGAAGCAGCTTCAAGCAGCTACAATTCTCTATGTATTTATGGAGGCTCTGGCCTCAGCAACACTGGCATATTATGTAGTCTTGTAATGCATTATATGGCAATGTAGACACAAATGATGCAGTTCAATGCAGTTGAACTGCATTATAAAACTGCATTACATGGTAGTGTAGGTGGGGCCTTAATAAACTGCTTTACATTGTTGTTGCTTTTAAATATATCACCACTGACCTTTAGCTTTTCAGATAATATGTTTATGTATATATATGTAACTGTAATGTTTTCATTGTGAAGGTACCTTGCAATACGATGTAAAATGTACTTTAACTCGCTGCTAAATCACAGACAATTTTCTGGGAAAATGGAGTTTGACCACAAGAATGGAAAGCTTTCAATTACTGTAAGTAATTTTCCAATTACTTTGTACTATTTGAATCTAATTTTTTTTTCAGTTCCCTGTTGTGGTCAACTGTGAATTGCACATATGGTAATTCCTGCACCTGCGCAGAACAGCTTTCGGAATCTTCTAGAAATTCTATTAAACATTTCAGGCTGTAGGCCCCGCCAACTCTCCCCTCTGATCATAAGTAGCCAGTGAGAGGGGCTACGGCCTCCAGTTCTCTTCATCCGCCGCCAGTTATTACCAGTAAAGCAGAACAAAAGCCAGAAGGAACTAGAACGATGCAGGGAATGTGTATTATATAAAAACGAGAGACAGAGGCTTGGGATATGGAAAAGAAGTTTGTCAGAAGTAGTTTGGAAAACCCTTTTAAAAATCCTCGTAAAGGGACCATTTTGAGAAATAAAATCTTCTTTTACACATCCTAAGATTTTTCTCTCTCATTTTCATATCATTTTCCCAAGCAACTGCATGTGTGTATTAAACTAGGGTTGGCACTGAAACAATATAGAGGTGATAAAGGAGAGCTATATTTGGGCACCTGAATATTTATTGTTTTAAGTTACTTGTTTAATGCAAAGAGCATATAAGAAGCAAGAGGCATCTGGCAGAAAAGTGTCGGCTTGATATTTATGTATTATTAGCTTCATATATATCCTGTGTTTTTCCCCAATAAGGAGCCCATGGTTGTTGCTCCATCTAGCTGTTGGAGCTTCACCTGCACATTAAAACTCCATTGTCTTAAAAATAGTGCCAAAAACTGGAAAGTGAAATAAACTGCTCCAGGAGGAATACCATAGACCAGTGGTTCCCAGCTTTCAGGCCCATAGCCAGGATTTTGTTTCGGGGTGGAGGGGGGCTGAGTTTGGTTTCGGGGTGGGCGGGGGCTGAGTTTGAGTGAAAGAGGGTCTACCCTAGCAAACCTTTTGTATCGTTACCCAATACCCCCATGCATATGGGATATATTGAGCATGGTGATCAGATCATGATATGAATAAACATAACAGTTTAAATAATGTACCAGTAAGGCCTTTTCGCGAACCACCATGAGAATTTCGGGGGGGGGGGCGGAAGCCCCCCCACCCCCCCCCCCCGGCCCGGCTACATGCCTGCCAGCCTTTTTTTGACCAAGGACCACTTGACCAGGGACCACTCTCCAACATTAGTACCAAAAGGGTTACGAATCAGTTTTTGGTGAACTTGAGGTTGGGTTTGGTTATTTGGAGTGCTGATTCAGAAAATTGCATTAGGTAGAGCACATCAGCTCTAGTTTCTGATACAGAACATATGCCATCCAGTAACTGCCATCTGCGCACCCACAGAAACCCTCTTTTCTGTACTCCCTATAGAATCATAGAATCAAAGAGTTGGAAGAGACCTCATGGGTCATCCAGTCCAACCCCCTGCGAAGAAGCAGGAATATTGCATTCAAATCACCCCTGACAGATGGCCATCCAGCCTCTGTTTAAAAGCTTCCAAAGAAGGAGCCTCCACCACACTCCGGGGCAGAGAGTTCCACTGCTGAACAGCTCTCACAGTCAGGAAGTTCTTCCTCATATTCAGATGGAATCTCCTTTCTTGTAGTTTGAAGCCATTGTTCCTAGTCTCCAGGGCAGCAGAAAACAAGTTTGCTCCCTCCTCCCTGTGACTTCCTCTCACATATTTATACATGGCTATCATTAGTCACCTTCTCCCCTCCTGACATCTCTGTTGCCTCAACACTATAAGAGGGTTTCGCGAGACCAGTCACTCTCGTTGCCGGCATAGTTTCGAGGCAACAGTGTAGTAATGGTAAGACCGCGGACCGTATTATTGTCCTTGTGGACCACTGGTGGTTCATGGATCACAGGATGGAAAGCACTGCCATAGACCATCAGCAAATTACTGTAGAAGCCTGAGATCCAGAAATAGTTGGAAATCAATTGCAGCTTATTTTCCACACAGAGAGCTTCTTCACAGTAAAAACATGATGCTTCTTTCTTTGTATCCAGAAGTGTTCTCTTGTGTTAGGGAAATCTTCCTCTTTTAGGTATGTGTATTTTTAATAGTTATTTTGTTATTCCAGTTTCATTTTTCTCTCTTTTTAAACAACTTAAGGTCCAGCCTGGAGACACAAACAAGGCTATTCTAGATGACATGAAATCTTTATCTGGAGGTGAACGTTCCTTCTCCACCGTTTGCTTCATCCTTTCTATATGGTCCATTACAGATTCTCCTTTCAGATGTCTGGATGAATTTGACGTCTTTATGGTATAATTTCTTGAACGTGTTTGTTGTTGATACTCTCAGCCCAATCTTACCAATTTTCATTAGAAACATGACAGAAAAGGTAATGGTTTTCAGGGAAGTGTATTGCTCCCTTAATAGTTCCGTAACTACATTATTCCTTTTGCTGAAAAAAAAGAAGCATTCCACAAAACTAGTTTTACCAAAGTATCAAAATAAACAGAACAATAAAAAGTGGTAACATAATGTGCATTAGCCTTTACATTCCCTTTCAGAAGAAAAGCTAGCAATTGAAGTAAATAATGTCAGAATTAGCAGTAATTGTTACAAAGTACAAAACTTAGCAGTTGCTGAAAGAACTGAAAAGCAATTTTGTTGGAATCAGCTGTAGCATTTTCATTCTCAGGAGCCATGGTTAAGCCCATGGGTTAAGCCCTTGTGCTGGTTATTGGTTTGAATCTGTGAGACAGGTCAGCTCCATCTGTCAGCTCCAGCTTCCCATGCGGAGACTTGGGAGAAGCCTCCCACATAATGGTAAAACATCTGGGCGTTCCCTGGGCAACGTCCATGCAGACAGCCAATTCTCTCACACCAGAAGCAACTTGCAATTTTTCAAGTCGCTTCTGACACGATAAAAAGAATTTCATTCTCAACACTAACCTAAGGGATAGGATTGTATTATTATTAAATCTGAATGAAGTATACTTGTAAAAATGCACAGGCATATTTTGATGTCTTTTAGGATATGGTGAACAGGAGAATTTCAATGGACATGATGCTTCGTATGGCAGAATCTCAGTGTTATCGACAGTTCATTTTGATTACGCCGCAGAATATGAGGTAATAGGTTCCTAATGTTGGAGCTTATAAAATGCAGAGGAAATAAAGATTAGACAGATCTTTTGTGCTTGAAGTATATATTACTTCAGATGTTTTATATAGGTTGTCAGTGGATATTAATACAGGTGTTTCCCCTTCCTTTTGCACCCTTCTTATCTGCAAGGAAGAATAGCCTATTTGTTTATAATTTTAAGCAAGAGTCTCAAAGGCTTGTTGGAGGACTGTGATATCAGAAAGGAACATTAAAGCTGACAAGGAAAAATAGAGAAACTAAATTAAAGTTTTAATAAATGTTTCTCCTGGAAATACCATTTTCTTCTACGTGGTCCCTATGAAATGCAGACATTCATATGTGCGGATTTCACAGGTGACCACTCAAAGAAAAATGGTTACAGGTAAACAACCCATTCTTCTATGTGGTCTCTGAGAAATGCGTACATATGGATGCGCGGATTTCACAGGTGACCACTCGCAGAAACATGGTTACAGGTAAGCAACCCATTCTTTCCCTAAAAGAGAAGTCAGAAGTCAGAATTGTGATGCAAACTCCATACTTCCAGTTAAAGTTATAAATGTATGCTTGTACCTGGTGCCTTATAGCTGGGCTCCACCTCTGTGGTCCTCAACCTTCCTAGTGCTGCGACCCCTTAATATAGCTCCTTATGTTGTGGTGACTCCCAACAGTAAAATTGTTTTCATTGCTACTTCATAACTGTAATTTTGTTACTGTTATGAATTGTAATGTAAATATCTGCCGTGCAGGATGTATTTTCATTCACTGGACCAAATTTGGCACAAATACCCAATATCTCCAAATTTGAATACTGGTGGAGTTGGAGGGGATTGATTTTGTCATTTGTAGTTGCTGATATTTATAGTTCACCTAAAATCAGAGAGCATTCTGAAGTCAACCATTGATGGAATTGAACCAAACTTGGCACACACAACTCCCATGACCAACAGAAAATAGTGGAAGGATTTGGTGGTCATTGACCTTGAGTTTTGGAGTTGTAGTTCACCTACATCCAGAGAACACTGTGGACTGAAACAATGATACATCTGGACCAAACCGATGAGAAGGACAGGCCTTCTCTGCCAAAGGGGTTCCTAAGACCATCAGAAATAGGTTTTCTAATGAATGGTCTTTGGCAACCCCTCTGAAACCCCCTCATGACCCCCTCTCCAAGGGTCCCGACCCCCAGCTGCTCAAACTGAAAAATTGGCCTGATCTAAGTGTAAAAGTATTCCATGGAGAAGCCATTAGTTAATTTGCCATATTTTGTATCTAGCTCATTGCCATCCAGCAGGCTTGTTCGAATCCTCCGAATGTCAGATCCAGAGAGGGGGCAGACCACACTGAATTTCCATCGCAGAGGTGATGAAGATGAAGATGAAGAATGAGTGCCTTAGCAATGCATACCACCTGATCAGCTTGTTCCTATTATATATCATGTCCCGTTGCAATTTTTTAAAAAATGTAAGGCTTTGTAACTCCCTCCATTAACTTGTGCCTTTTTCCATATTGCAGTTCTTAAGATTTAAACATAAAATTCACTTTATTTTTAGAAGTAATATTTTGGTGGTTAAATTGTAGCAGCAAAGATGCTGTCTTGCACTAGTGACTGCAGCTTTTGTTTTGCTCTTGCAAAGAGTGGAATAGTCACACACATATATATATTGGAGATGGATTCAAATGTTTCCTATTTTTGTATTCCACAAGTATGACAAAGTGGGACAAAAGAAATCTTCGATCATATTTTGGAACATGTTTTTACAATAAAACTGTTGCAGTAAAAACAGAATTCTTGTCCATAATATTTCCAGTATCTTTTAGTTGTAGTTATTGCACCCATTAGTGATAGCATCTTTTATAGGTATTTCTGGGTTCTCGTCTGATGGCTTTGCCTGGTTGTGTCCTCCTTGTTCAAGAAACTCTGCAGCCATATTGTTTGGCACACACTAACTTTGCAGGTTGCATCGCTCAAGTCAACTTCCCCAGCTATGCTTTTTAGTAGAGCTGAAGCAATGGATATAGTGCTAGCAGGAGTACTCCCAAGTAGAAAATGATTTTGCCTGGGTTTTTTTTCTTCTTACTGAAACAGTTCATTGGAATCAATTATGCAATTGGTATTTACTTTAGCAATGTATAGGGATAGATGTGCCTTTAAGAGCAGTGTTTCTCCATCTGTGGATCCCCAGGTGTTTTGGCCTACAACTCCCAGAAATCCCATCCACTTTACCAGTTGTTAGGATTTCTGGGAATTGAAGGTCAAAACATCTGGGGACCCACAGGTTGAGAACCACTGCTTTAGAGCCTAGAATAGGTTGTTGGACCTCACAATGTTGCTCATCCCTGCAGTCTAGAATTTTATTTCACCAGCACCCCATGTTTGCATCAATAAATAACACCAGTAGATGGGCCATGTGTGTACAGTGTAGTATCGAGATGCATATTCTTCTTATGATGAAAAGTGTGGTTGATAGTGAAGAACACATAAGCTTAAGAGAATTGGTGTACTGCATTATTATTATTGTTATTATTATTATTATTATTTTGCAATTAGCAAAGTAAATTGCTCATAGCTTGCTTTTCTCCCTTTCTCGGGATTAAATGCTGTAGCAGTTTATTTATTTGTCGTGTCAGGGCAACCAGTCCATTATATTACATTTCTAGCAGAACAAAGCAAACAAACAGACAAAATAGAAAATTTGTGAGTTTGGTAGTTGATTAGATGTCCTTTGACCAGTATCTGGCCACTTGGGAGTGCTTCTGATATTGCTGCAATGTGGCAGGGCTCATGCTGTAGCAGTGAAGCATAGACCGATGCGTGATGTCTCTTTTTCTTAAACCTTTTGATGTTTTGGGGATTCACCTTTTTGGGAAATAACACCTTTAGTTCATGTTAATGAACTATGTAATCAAACTCTTGCCTGCTCCATGCTCACCTTTAAATATTTCTGAAAACTTCTGTCAATTTCCAAAATAAAGCTGCAAGGTTTACCTCTCCTGCTGATGGCGGAACATCCCATATGGTTGTAACCTATAGAGCCCTTCCCTTTTATAATATCCTGTTGGATCTTGACCTAAATTAGGAAGGCATCGTATTTCCTGTTATTGTATGCCGCACAAAATGTCTGTATATCAAATAGGTAAGGGTTTTTCCCTGACATTAAGTCTAGTCCGACTCTGAGGCGTGGTGTTCATCTCCATTTCTAAGCCAAAGAGCTGGTGTTGTCTGGAGACGCCTCCAAGGTCATGTGGCCAGCATGACTGCATGGAATGCCATTATCTTCCTGCAGAAGCAGTACCTATTAATCTACTCACATTTGCATGTTTTCGAACTGCTAGGTTGGCAGAAGCTGGGACTAACAGCGGGAGCTCACCCGCTGCCAGCCTTTCAGTCAGAAAGTTCAGCAGCTCAGTGGTTTAACCCCATGCACCACCAGGGGGCCAAATAGTAGAGTATAAATTGATATAGAAAAAAAATCTGTAATGCACCTGAAACTCAGCTCTGTGGTTCATTTTCCAGTCATGAAGTAAGAGCATCTTTATTAAGGTGATTCAAAGCATATGCAATCTACCTGCAAGGAAAAGAAACAGGCACAAACACAATAGCTCACCTGCTCTATCCTTATTTTTGTTTCTTTGATTGTGGAAGGTAACTATACTAAGTCTTTGCATATTCATAGCTCTCAATTCTAAATTGTGGAGAGCCTCTGTATATAACAAGAGACTCTCCCACTCACTGACCCTCTTCTATAATGGGGACCTAATGGTACTGCTGACGGATTGAAGAAGGTAAATTCAATCCCTCTCTAAAACACCTGAAAAATATTAAAAGAAATTCTGACCGGATATTACAGAATTTTGGGACTGATAAGACTGGACAAAAAAAAAGCTTGGCCAAATAAGAAAACAGTCTTGGCCTTTTTGAGGAAACTAGTTCATTGAATTTTAGATATAGTGGAATTTAGGTTTATAGTTGGGAAGAATTCCTCAGTCCAGAACTGCAACTGGATGGCTAGGTGATAACTATGATTTTTGATTTTTAATATGCAGTCATTTATATCTTTCCAGATTCAATTATCATAATACCTTTGAAGACTGTTGGGTTCAGCTAGTTTTGAGTCTGGTTGTGAGGAATTTCTAGACTGCTAGTTTCTGAAAGCCTTCTTTCCCACAACAACAACAACAGCAACAACTTTATTTATATTCCGCTCTATCTCCCCGAAGGGACTCAGGATTCCCATCTTTGCTTGCAGATGCCAGGGATGGAAACCAGGAACTTTTTCATGCACACTGTACAATTTCAAAATTGCAGCCTTTTTCGAAAAGGAGGTCCTCATCTATTGGCCTTGATCGATCACGTTGGGATTAATAAACAGGAATACATACCATGATCTCAATGTCTGGGCATACTTCAGTGTCCTTATCTGTATCTGAAATTTAGGATAACAATGTCTTGATTTGTTTACACATTATTGAAATAAAATAAAATAGTTACATTTTCCAATTTTGGAACTCTTGGTGTACAGAAGGGGCTCCCTTAAGTTAGTGGTTCTCAACCTGTAGGTCCCCAGATGTTTTGGCGTTCAATCTGCCACTACATGGAATGTGTGTAAATGGATCCAAGTCTCTAACAACCCTCTCTCTGTCAGAGCTGACATGTTGAATATGATATTGAAAAATAAGTTATCCATCGGGGTAGCTTTGTATTCTTTACCAATAATCTCTCAACCTTGCTCCCAGAACTTGGAGACTAACCAAATAATTTTAGACATAATCTTGTCTATTATACAGCACATTCTTTGGAGGGAAAAACTTCTTAATAATAGCCACTGTTAGAATAATCCTAATCCATTTACATTGATATACTTACAGGTTGAGAACCCCTAATCCAGAATTCTGAAATTTGACATATGCCCAAATCAGAAATGGACCACGTCTGGGCTGAGATAGTGGCACCTTTGCTTTCTGATGGTTTGATGTACACAGACTTTGTTTCATGCCCAAAAGTATTAAACATATTGCATAAAATTTCTTTCAGGCTCTGTGTATAAGGTTTATAAGAAACATAAATTAATTTTGTGTTCAGATTTGTGTCTCACCTTCAAGATATCTCTAAGTAGGGCCGGGCTTTAGCACAGTTGGTTAATGACCAGAAGCAATAGCTCATTACCAGCTGGAAAGTTGGCAGTTCAAAGCCTGAGTCAGAGTGAGCACCTGACCGCCAGCTCATTTCACTGTCCACCTAAGCAGTTCAAAAACAGCTGAGATGTGAGCCGAGAAATTAGGCACCGCTTAAGTGGGGAGGTATTTTACAGCACCATAAAATGCCAACGATGAAAGAACAAGAAGGAAGAAGTCTGCAATCAAAGAGCTCATCATAGAAGATGGAGTAACAGCACCCCCCTGTGGCCGGAATTGAGCATAACTTCCAAGCACAGAAGCTGGAAAACGTTGATACAGTGTTCCCTCACTTATCACTGAGTCCCCTTTGGGGTGAGAAGAGTGGAATATAAATGCTGTAAATAATAATAAATAATTAAGCATGTGCATGTAAAATACAGTTATTTTGAACTCCCAACTCCTCAAATCCAAAGCGCGCATTTCGGAGAAGGGATGCTCAACTGATTTGATAGATTTTTTATGAGCTCTTGAGTAGTTAAATAAAAACTCATCACCACCATCATCATCACCCAAAAGATCCAGGTGGCTTGCTTGTGGAGCACACTATATCTCTGCTTGTGGGAAATCTAGTTCCCAGTGGCCGCCACATGTAAAACTGACAAAAACTAGACTGCCTCTGGAATCTCTGAGATTGGCGAATCTTTTGTGGGAAGGGAAAGAGTGGAAAAAAATTGGGATATCTGTGTTAAAAGTTTTCAGCAAACAAGCAGAAGTTCTATCACAATTCTTTTGATATTTCAGTTCCAGCCATTTTTGATCCCAAGACTAACAAGCTATTCATGTGAAATAATATCACAAGTAAGAAGTCAAATGTTATAAATTTATTTGGGGACATTGATCGCAACCTCTTTGGAAGCTTATGAAAATTTCAAGCAGAAAGTAATACACTCTCAACAAAACATTTCAAACTTCCGATAAAACATTATTTTAAATGTGTTTTGTATATATATTTATATTATATATATTTGTATGTTAGCTTTCACTGAGGGAACACTTTAGCAGGGTTAGATTTTTTTTTCTCCCGAATTTTGTCTTATACTTCATTCCTCTGACATAGCGCTGCTGCTTCTTTCTTTCTGACAGAAAGGATGCAATGAGGTAAGAATTAAGGCAAACCTAAAAGTCATGCAAATGAAGTACATTTATATTCACCGACAGTACAAGCACATGTCTGGATCAGACGCTAAATGAAGGGAGGGAGGTGCTTCCCTCGGTCTGTCCACTATTAATATACAGCGGGATGGTGACAGATTTGCTAATGAACTGATTTGTACACTACCATGGGGGGGGTTTCGGTTGTCACTAACATTACCCAGTTTAAGAGACATATAGCTAGCATCAGTAAAACATGAACAATAAATAGTATAATTCACCGCAGCACGGCAATGCTGCACAGGCATCGGAGGAATAGGACTTATGAAATGACGTTGCAAACATCACATCGTGGTATAATTATTATTTTTTCTTATAATATATACTTTTAAAATTCTGTAGCAATTGACATTCTCATGCACACAAGTGTTTCAAACACAAGAAGCAAGTCCATTGATAGGTAGTCCAAGCAAGTTTTGTTTGTTTGTTTTGTGTGTGTATGTGTGTGTTGTATGTGTG